TAACATCCAGGCCTTAGCCACACCCCCTCCCAGCTACTTCAACAAATTAACTATCCTGGCTGAAATCAGGACATCAACTAAAACAAAATGTTGCACCAGTCAACATAAAGAAAGAAATGGCATACAAAAAATATTTTAGAGTAAGCATTGCATCATTCTAGCACCACATAAAATCATCTCAGAACTGCATTTTAAGGAATATACCCAGTCATTACCAATGGAAATTAAAACTGGTTATAAGACCCACAATCACCTCCTAACTCTAACACCTCATTCTGGCAATTGTGAGCTGTACAGAACACATACTTTTCCATGTTTCCCCCATGCTTGTGTACGAAATTACTCCACACACTGCCAAGAACGCAAACAGGAAGAGAATGACGCTCCGCTGGAGTCGGGACAGCTGCTTCCATTTCTTTAGGAGAGAAAAGAAGTGAACGAAAGAATATTTAGCATGACATTAAGAACCTACTTGGTTAAAAATAAACTCTTATTGGTTCATTCAGATGAAAACCCACAAAACTGACTAGGTTTAATTTTACCCTGTTTCCAACTGCATATATCCATTGCTTATTTTCTTTGATGACAGAGAAAACAGAAATCCAACCAGCTAGCACAAGGCAGAAGAAGCTCACAAAAACATAAGAGCCACTTGCTGCAAGAACCTCAGAACCCGCCAAATGCCAAGACTCCCAGAAAGCTTCAACTACAGCTGACTTCAATCACAACCTCCACTGGCTGACCTGAGCACCTGCTAAGCTACCAACTGGGAAATCAGCCAAAAGCCTCTTTCCTCCTGGCTGGCGATGGACTGCAGAGTGCACATGCAAAATTAGAAACAGAAGAAAATGGCAGGAAAACTAAAAATGTTACTGCAGCAAAGAAGAAAGGCTCAAAATAAGCTGAGCACCAATCACCAGCAGGTTGTTGGTTCAATGCTTGTATGAGCTGTTTGCTTAAAGAGTGGGTCCCTTCCAACTCAGAATATTCTGTCAATCTGTGAAAAGAGAAGTCAGGTATCCTGGCTCTGACAAGCATGGGAACTGTCACACAGAACAAATTCTGCACCACAAAAAAAGAGACACCAACCTGCAGCAATATGAAAATTAAGTAAAACACCATTCAACAACAAACAAGACAAACCCACAATCTTTTTAAGTTTAGTCCTGGGCAAAAATGTATTGTTAACACTAAATTACACGCATCACTGAAAAACTGACAGCAAATTACATTAACCTGAAAGAGGCCAAGGTACATTAGCCTTGCTTTACAGAGAGAGAAGCTGGAGTTAAACATCAAGGGCTAAATTGCCACCATTACTTTTCCAACAGTCCTCCTGAAATTCACTGATTCTGCTTTGGATATACAGAGGGAACTTCATTGCCAATGCTACACTTGGGAACAACCTTTGCCACAACCCACACAGTACTACCACAGTCATCATCCTCTCAGCAACAGCCAGAGGCCGGGAATGTCTCCATGCCAAACTGTCAATGTGCCCACACTGTGAGTCCCACAGCACAGTTTCCTGCCTTCCACCTGCACGGCTGACTACACAAGAATATTGTACACACTGCAAGATGCTGGTCCCACTGTGTCATCTTTAGTTCTATCTGCTTAGCAAACTCTGTGACCCTCTCCCCACTGCAAAAAGACACTTAAAATCCAGCAGCCCTGTGGTTCATCACGGTAGGATAGGAAAAAAAGCTTTAATTGTGTCTTGCAATGGAGAGGAGTACGGCACAATAACACGCGAGGGCATCCATCACCATCTTACTGGTTTTTTGCACACAAAGAATAAGTTAAAATGAAAGGTGATGACTCGGGCCCATATCTCTCTAGCTGGTAGTAAAAAGAGAACTGTGGGACTGTGTGCCTAAACAAGCTCTTCATAGACTTCATCTGATGACCAGTAAAGCCTCTGCAGGGGACTATACATCATCTCCTATCTGTAACAAGGGTTATCTTGACCCTCTGACTCACTCTTTCCCACATAAGACTCTCCAGCCAAAGACTCCCATCCCACATGAAGCTGTCTGCCCGTTCTACCCACAAGCAAACAAGAAGGCCACTTCCCAGAGCTCTGCCAGAGGACCCCTCTTCTCACACCCAGCTTTCACACTGTTCCCTTTACTCTCCATGGGCAGAAGACAGGACCCTCCCCTTAAGCCTTAACACAGGGAACAAAGGCACAGAGACCAAATCTCACTCCCCTCATTCCTGTCCAGAGAGCAGAGCGCTGCCCCTCAAATGTCCACGAGCAGAGATCAGAATTTTACCGTATGCCCCGGTGCCAGCTTTATTTGTGAAAATTATGACATGACGTGGAGACACCTCAGCCAGCCTGCGCTTTACACACCCTTACCCGCGGAGCCCAGCCCCGCGAGCACTCCGAAATCAGAGCCCAGAGCGGAGCCACCCCAGCACCCACAGCCGGGGCCTCTGCCAGACTCGGAACTGCGGAACTGGGGGACGACGCCAGGTCCCCCGTGACACTCCAGCTGCACCTAAGCTTAGGGACATTCCAGACTGCCCAACAGCCCTCCCCCATCACCAGGTGCCCCCCGCACCCAGCCCGGGGATACGCCGGTACCGCACAGCTCCCCGCGTGGCCCTCACCCGCCAGCAGGAGCGCCGCCGCCAAGCCTTGCTGTTGTTGTAGGCACCGACCCCGACCGCCTCCTCTGGGCCGAGAGTGACGGAGATGAAGTCCCGGCGAGGCGATCCCGCGGCGGCGGCGGCGGCGGCACCCGAGTACATGGCGGCGCCTCAGGGGCCGCCTGCCGCCATGGCCCCGCGAGACGGAGCGGCCGCTTCCGGCAACCGCTTCCGGTGCCTCCCTGGCGCCGGCGCGTTCGCGCTCGGTGGCACCGGGGCGAGGCGGGACCCAGCGCGTCCGGCGGCGCCGCGGAGGCACCGGCCCTGGGGAAGCCCAGTCGGGACGGGCCCTCTCCACGGGCAGGCAGGAGGAAGTCTCAGCCCGCGCTGCCCACTCTCCGAGCCGCCCCGAGGCCGCAGCCCTCGGCGTGGGCACGGCCCGAGCCCCCCACCTACTTCACGGGTTCCGGCTTCAGGCCTGGGCGGGGGTGCCTGGGGCTGCTTTGATTTTGCCCTTGCCTCTCTCGCTGTCCCGGCGCACCTCGCCGAACCGCGCCCTGCCAGCGAGGACAGCAGCTGCCGGGGTTGGCAGTGAAGCAAAGGAGAGGCTGGGAATCCTCGCTGTTCTTCTGTGTCGTGAGACTACAACATAGAGACCAGTCACAGAGTCATTGGCATGGAAGAACTGTAAATGAAGACGTGCATGTGGCAGATAATAAGGAAAATCAACTCAGTAGGTGGCCTGCAAGTCCCCATGGAACTGGGAGTAGGCCGCTGTGGTGAGGTGCAGGGGGTACGGCCGCTGCGGCTCCTCCCGCCTGCCTGCAGAGTGAGCACGGCCGGGGAAAACCCCGAAGTGCTGCTGCCCCGAGAGGACAGGGAAGTGCTGTCTGATGGCATTATCATCTGCCACCGAAACACCGGGACACAAGCTTTTCAGCAGGCAGTGCGGGAACACGGACCTCAGAGCAGACCACTGGAATCTGTGAGAGCATGTACGTGATGGGTGAAAAGCAACTTAACTAGTTCTGTAAACCTACACAACTAGTTGTTAACTAATTGTGTAGACCCTTCCATAAGACCTGGCACTGAATTTTAGTATGCAGCAGGAAGCACGCATCCCACACAATTCCTTTCTTCAGCTGCTCCTCCACAGCCCCAGCCCTGTGTCACTCCCTCTGCAATTAAAGATTTCCCTGCAGAGAAGGAGGGACATACTCAGCCAGAATAGCGAAGAGCATTGTTTAGTGATGTACACATTCAGGGCCATAACATTGTTTAGTGATGTACACATTCAGAGCCACAGCATTGTTTAGTGATGTACACATTCAGAGCCACAGCATTGTTTAGTGATGTACACATTCAGAGCCATAGCATTGTTTAGTGATGTACACATTCAGAGCCATAGCATAGCAAATAATAACTTCTAGCGCAGGTTCCAATAGGAAGAGGGCAGCATTGAAGCAGCTGCTTTAAGACTGCTGCTCTAAGTGCTGGCAGTGAATTCACCTCCAGCCATGCCTAAGTGGCAGGTCAGTGTCCATCATTTGAGCCTTTACATTTGGAATCCACCTCACAGTAGATTTCAAGATAAAACTGAAAAATTGGTGTTTTCTGAGCATTTAATGATTAAGAAAACTAATCCATCAAAAATCCTGGTAGATACGAAGAGTACATAAACAAGCAGAACAATTTAAGATGCCTAAAGCAAGCGTTCACTTTTAGTATTAATTTTCCTATCACAGGAAACTACTGATTTGTGTAAACATATTTAAAAACATACTTAAATCCCCAGCAGACTTCACATGGGTGTCAAGAGAGAAAAACGGAGGGAAAGAGGTAAGAAAGGAACATTTGCTTCTCGCATTTGCTGGGTTCAGCCCTAAACCCCCAAATGACGGCAGTCTGCCGTTTGCGAGGTATTTCTGCCTTTCCCTGCTGATTGTGCTATAAATAGAGCCGTGTTTAAGAAGTGTCTCTCGCTGGAAAGCAAAGTTAAAGCTGCACTGCAGCGAGTGCTCATTACCTACACACCAGCTGTGAGACTGACTCAGAACCATATTACTCAAATCAACTTGAAATAAGACAACCACCACCTGCAAATAAACTCCCTTCCCTCAATAAACTAAGCTGAAAAGCTTGGAAAAAATATACAGCATTGGAGACAAGAACACAATATTCTGTTTTCTGATGAAAAAAATAGATCCCACAATGTCAACTCCCTTTGGGAATCACCCTCTGCTCAGTTCCATATGCCCCTGTAAGCTGAAGAGTGGGCACTGCAGTTTCCATGTGTACCACCAGTGACACCATCCTGCAGCTGTAATGACAACATTCACAGGGACAGAGACAAGAAGTGTGTCTTTTCTCACATACAAGAAACACAGACAAACACATATAAATCACAGTAACATCTTTATTGTTAAAAATGCTTAGATGTCCAGAAGTTTCTGGAGTAGTACAGGTCTTCCCTTTGTTTCAGGTACTTTTTTTCATTTTATAATGTGTACAAAGACTGTTACATACAGGACAGATTTTTTTTTGTTAAAGTTTTCTCAAAATTGTTTCTATGTTCCAGTTTAAAATGTGAAGAGTCATAGAAAAAAAAAAAAACAAGAGACAAGGCATTTAGCATTCTAATTTAACTTCTTGAAAACCATGTCAGCAGCTCTGCTCTGTGTGCATGGAAACTGAAACTTCAAAAGAGAAAGATTTTTAGAAAAAGCAAAAGAAATATTTCTTTATAGCACAGCACAGTATAAAAGAACCATGTGCTTGAACTTCTGAGCAATACTCACAAATATACAACACAGTTTGTTCTCAGATATAAAACTTGACTGACAGGAATGAAATGTGTCATAGAAACACTGCAAAAAGACTACAGAATTGAGTGACAAGGACAAATGCTTCATTTATACTAAAAATGTGAATTACTGGCTGCACATGCCAACTGAGGTAATCAGAACCAGTCATTAGCTGGTCTGCATGTGTGAAAGGATCATTACTCAAGTTCATGCAGAAACACTTTACAACAAAAAACTCTGATACTCACATTTAGATGCTTTCTTTGGAAAACTTGAGCATACTTACATACTTATATTTACTCTCAAAGACATTTTTTTTTTTCACATACTTCACTTTCCCATTCCCTTCTCTATTATTCTAATAGAGCTTCATATCAGAAGTTGCAGAAAGCCATGGAACTTAATTATGCTTAATGAAATAGCATAAGCAATTCCTCAGTGGAAGCTGATGCATTAAATAACATTTCAGATGAAATGTCTTTCTTTGCTACCTTCCTTAACACCATGTTTAGGGGAAGAGTATGGAGCATTTCTGATGCAAAAGCCAGCCACCAGAGAGTGCAGCTGACACATCCTCACCAAGGCTGAAACATACTGAGCTGGGTATGCTCGGCGCAGGTTCTGCATCAGATGGCCATGAGCTTCCTGGGGCAGTGTCCAAAAACAACATGAAGAATCACTGGTGGGTCAAGGGTTAGAGCTACCCTGAGACCCCTTGGCCAGGGCTGAGTTCACATGCTACATATGTTCTGACAATTAGTGTCCTTCATTAGCTGACACTTTCCATTGTGGTTAGTAACATATCTAAAAGAAGGGCATCTATGCAATTACTTCCTAAGTGAAAGAGTGCTGGAAAATCACCTGGAGAAAAACTGTAGAAGTGGAGGCTGGTGTTTTACTGTGTATCCTGTTGATGCTGAGAGTCTTTTTTTGTTTTGTTTTGGTTAGGCCTTAAATTCTACCACTGAGATTTGTTTCTTTTACTACTTTCAGGTACCTCAAGAGAACCTTGTCTAAGGGATATGGTATATATTAAACAGGAAATGGAAAGGAAAACTGTTATAGTCAGGAATGGCAGAGGGTTGTGAAAATATTCTTTTTTTTTTTTTTTAATTAAAAAAACCCCAAGTCACTACAACTGTAAGGAGCAATCTGTCTACGCATGACACCAGTGAGCCCAGATTCAAAACTAGTCTGTTCTACTTTGGACTCCAAGCCTCAAGCAATGCTTAGGCACAGCAACATCCCTACATACAGCAGATTCTGTATGATCTGCTTAGAGGATGCAGATCTTCTAATCAGCACATGATTAGGGAAAAAACTGACCGCTGGAGAGAAAACCTCAGTATCCAAAGTACTTCCATACTTTTCAGGATGGGACTTCAATCTGAATGCAAGTGTGCACATAATTTAGAAACAAAACCAAACCAAAAAATCAACCACACCAACACAAGACACCTAACAAGGCACTGAAGAAATTGAATCTTCTTGAAGGCAAAGCTGATTTATCAGGCCTTGACTGGCTCTTTCTGCATTCCTATGCAACAGTAAATAAGAAATGTAGGATCTGTTTAGCACCCAAAAAGTGTTAATCCACAAAAGCAATTTTTTTATAATGCACTTCATAGCTGACATTTTAGTACTGTCAGTTCTTATAATGGATCTGACAAACATGGATCTGATTTGAGAAGGAAAGGCTTCCCACTTCAAGAATTTTCCAGCATTTCCACTTTGTTTTCGTCGAGTACAAAGGGAGAAGGGAACTCTTTGTTCTTCATGTACACCTCCAGACCCTGAGAAGGTGTGAGAACAGTACTGTTAGGCTGTAAATGCACTATTTTAAGTCCTCAAATGACTGACAGAGGGACAAGGCAAGAGTAACAGTTTCCCCAGTGACAGAAGGTGTTTCTGGGGTTCAAGAAGCAGAGGTGCTAAGGAACCATAAAACCTGATGTCAGAAACAAGCTTCTTGGAAGGGCAGCATGGGAAGGTGTGTCCTTAACTGACATTAGAATAATCCTGGCAAAGAAAAGTCAAATTCCCTTGTTTTCATTTTGACAGCCTATTGATTGCAATGAGTTTGCCACCTGCACGTGTTGAGGAATACACCTACTGCAGGTAGCTGGCTTGCAAGTTAACACATGTGGAAACCTAGCAAACAGTGCCCACACATTCTCCTGCAATCTACTATTTCTCACCCTGTCCATCCAATAGGGAAGCTCCTATTCTCATTATTAAATGGAAGCAGGTTTCTCAGAATCAATTGTTTTCAGAGGGACAAACTTGAGAAATGCCCTCCTTAAAGCCAACACACATATTTCTCAGTCAGGATTCACTTACTGTGGGATATGAGCACAAATAAGCACAGAACCCATGGTTTTCCTAATTTGAATATTCTGCACTTCATATTAAGATCTCAAAGTGCTTGCAAATCTTAATGAAACTGCAGCCTTGTTGCAAATCTCATTTTACAGATGGCAAAACTGAGAGTGAACAAACTCCTGAAGAGTAAATCATAATGGAAAACACAGAGCCCAAGTCCTTGATCTTACCATTTCTCATCAAGCCCAGGATAAAGAAACCACCTGTGTTTGGAAGTAAGTCAGATGCATACCTGCACACTCTTAAAAATGCCTCCATAGATAGTTATTCTCACCTCTCCAAAGTAAGACACTAATGGAGAAATCTCACACACAGCCGGAGGATCTTCAGTTCCTGAGAGACTAAAGAAGAGAACAGAGGATTAACTTCCTGCCGTGGTTAAAAGACAGTGCATCTTCTTCAAAAGATTATCCAGAATAGGATATCCAGAAGGATAAGACATTTGTTAAAGTCACATGCACCAGACATTATGTGAAAACAAAGTGTGAAAATAAAAAGGAATTAACAGGTCCCAAATGTTACTCAGCAAAACCCAAACACCCCTTTTATAGAGATGCTTTTCAAGTCAAATGAACAACTTGTGGGTCTACTGAACTATGAGTTGATGAAGTAATGGCCCCATGGAGTAAAAGCAGCTTTCCATTACACATGATGCAGGAAGGTATCCGAACTGGTGATCACTCTAACAACCAATCCGTAAGACCACCTGAGAATCCTGTTGGGGACACAGTCAAAAAAGCTGTCAGGGCCTACAAATTAGAATTCCTTGCATTGTTAAATCCAGTGTGATGGAAAAGGCTGGCCCTGTCCAACAAGGTGCTATAGGAAGGGCCAACTCCTTACCCCAAGAGCAAGGATCTGCCAGAGAGAATGCCCAGAGCCCAGAGCGCTAACTGTCTGGAGCACCCACAGTCACAAGAGGAGCAGAAAGTGTAATAGACATCAGCCTGCATAACCAGAGAGGGCCAGCTGAACAAAAATCACACTGAGCCACCCTGTGACTACACTAATGCCCGGTTTCGAAGAGTCCTGCATGTGCCATTGGCCAGCTGGCATGGCTGAGCACTTCAATGAGAGAAGCTGCAGAGAAGGTCACAGATTTATACCTGAGTTTTTCTGGTATCCTGCAACCATTTTCATCCACAAATCTGGCTCCAGCCTTGAGAGCCCAGCGGTAATGCTGGGCCAGGAGGGCTTGCCGAGCAGTGGTAGGAGTATCTTTGTCAGCTGTGTCTGCATTTTTTAGTGGTGAGAATTCCTCTTCTCTCAGAACTTCAAATGCCACAAAATTCCTACCAGCAAAGGGAAGAAAACAATGATCATGAAAACCAGAGCTAGTCATCAGCCCCGCTAATGCAACAACAACATTCACGGGGAAAGGCTCATATATATTTTTGGGAGAAGCATTGTATGCAGCCTGAGGCAGTCAAGCCAAGGTAAGCCCACTGCCCTTCTGAAGAGCCAAGGAGTACCAGGGCTGTAGAATGGAAAAACACAAGAAGCCTTATCTCTTTGGGAACTTAACAGCAGCCTCTCTACCTACCGGAGCTGTGCTCAGGAGAGAGAAAAAGCAGCAGTTCAGCAGAGATGCCATAGAAACTTTTTTAGGCAGTGGGAGGTTCTTGGACAAGACAGCTCAGAACACAGCAGGACAGAGAGCACAGCACTGTCCAGAGCTTGGGCACAGCATGAGCAGTGCACTCACTGCAGAGCACCCCACCATGCCCCAAGAAATGCCCCCTGCTTGGGAGTCTGTAGGTGAGGACCAACTAAGGACACCAGCTCCCAGGGACAAACAAGCAACAAGGGAGGCCTCACAGGTGATTGTGAAGTACAGCTGTTTACCAGAAATGGGAATGCAAATTAAAAAGCCCCACCGCAACATATGTGCATTTCTGCACTTCATGCATGAAGCACAGCGGCCAAGGTGGTTTTGAGCTGTTAAAAAAACACAAGGAACCACTGCTTGCAAATGAATTCTCTCACGGCTCAGAATTCAGCAGTGTTCCCATCACCCTGGGATTTTGGTTTTGTCTTTAGTTTGATACTACTTTATTTAATACATGTTAGGAAACAGAGACTGGTTCAAACCTTGAGCTCTCTATTCTAAAGGAAATAATATAAAAAGAGAAATAGTATCCCCAAACAAAGATAATTCAGTTTGCCTGAGGTCTCTGTTTGGCATTTATTACAGCCTAAAACAGAATCTTCACTGCTGAATTTGAGACCTTGGAAAAATAGATTTTATAACAACACTTATGCTTAATTGCTAAAATGCTATATTCCCTGGACACAAGTACCCCTGAATATATATGTCACAGCGCTCCCAGCTACGTTGCAGAATTTGGAAAGCGAATGCTGACAGTTCCACTTGGCCCCACAGTGCTTAAGTGAACAGTTTTCCAACCACAAAGGGTACAAGCTGAGCCCTGGCTTAACAGTACCCAAAAATGTAACCAGAGCTGCAGTTGTCATGGAAGCCACAATGCTGACAGACCCAATTTTTGCAAGTCTGAATACTCCAATATGGGCTTCATTGGCTTTGCACTCAATTTTTTATTTTTCCCAGGCTGGCAGAGGCCAGGCCAGCCAACACATCCTCAGGAGGATGACCAGTCTAGAAGCAGAGTTGGCACAAGAACTGAGTGCCTTGTGAGTTCCCCTTAGAGCCTGTAGTGTTACAGTTGGATTGGAGCTGGGTGTAGATCCAACAACCTTCCTAACAAGCCACCCACAAACCATGTGCTCCCTGGGATGGCTTGTTTCAACCTACAGTCATTCAAACAAACACTTAGAAGGGGAGGAGAAAAGTAAAATTATGTCTGTCACTAACTTAGAGAACTGGAACACATCAAACACAAACTTCTCCAGCTTTATCCCGTTCGGTTTTAGTGGTTTTACCAGATTTCCCTCCTTGTCAATGTAGGGCACCTTCTTTATGGCTACATGATGCTTCAGCTGTGACTCCCATTTCCTGCAAAAGGAGAAGAAACCAACCATTTTATTTAGTTCAAGCCCACTTAGAAAAAAAGCAATATACTTGAGGGAAGCAAATGGCTCATTACTGCTCTGGGTCAACTCTCAACTGTTTGTGGGTGTTGCTCCCTCCCAAGTGCTCCAAGTCACATCCAGGAAACACTTCCCCAAGCAGAGCAGCCTGGCCATGGGCTCTCTCTGTACCACTGGGACATGACAGTCAGAGGAGAGGGAGAAGTATGCATCAAGCTGAAATTGCAGGCAGAGGTTACAAAAAAAAAGAGGCAACCCAAATTGTTACCTGACTGGGGTGAAAATGGAGCAGATCCCTCACCCAAGGTTGGTTCAAGCTCTTCAGTAAGGTTGTACAGCTGCTCACGGAATGCCCAGCATCACATCCCCATTCCCCAATACCAAGGTGCAGAGTCCACCCTCAACTTCACCCTCTCCCACAAACTCTGTTGTCCCAAGTGTTGGCATGGCTGAGATTCCCCCTAGAAATCCATGGTATGAGGCTGCATCACTGACCACACTGCAGCCTGCACAGCTGCTCACCCTTGAAGGCCCAGGAAGATCGTGCACTGCTATATCTCAATTGATTTAGTTACAGTGAACCTGGGAACCTCTTCCTTGGGTAGGGCCTGGAGAGTATGCTGGGGCTGTCAGAAAAGGGACTCAGGTGTTTGGAACTGTTTGGAAGAGACAGGAGGTGAAAGGCAACACAGGGGATAACCATAACTGAAATTCCAGAGTGCGAAACAGGAACACCCAGTCTTGGAGGTATTTCTGGGCTGCACAGCCACCTAGAAGGTCTGCTGGGACTTACTGGGCCACTATTTCCAGGAACTCAACAGTGAAGAAGTGGTTACAGATGTTGCCAGCACTGAACACCAGTCCCCCCTCAGGGCGCTGCTGTTGTGCAGTCTCCAGGCTGATCTCGCTGTACTCCACCACCTGGTACACCCCATCCACACAGCACACCACCCCAACAGGCTCCGTGGGGTAGGCCTTCTCCACTACCTGCAGCCACAGGACACAGACTTATGACAAAGAGGAAGAAAATCCCAGGACAATTCCAACTCCCAAGTACAAACAATCCCACGTGATTGTTGTCTGCTGATCCTCCAGCACCTCAGGGATGTGTAAGGGGCACAAAGCAGTCTGGAGGAACATTTTGCCCAACAATTCAACATAAACCCCAGTACTCAACCACTTAATTTGACAGTTTCTCAGAAGACAGTTAAAAACAATCTGCATAGTGGGGGGCACTTTTCTTATCAAGGACTAGGATCTGGCATTAAAAGAAAGCTGCTTGCAGATATTCAACTGCCTTCAACTTCCCATTTGCCTGAACAGAGCTAATGACTCAGGTAACATAAATTTCTCTTCAGACACATGCTGCTTTAGGTTAACAAAATCCAGGCTGTTAAGGCTTTCCCCATCTTCCACAGCAGAATGTAAGAAACGCCTCCATTAGACTTAAAGGCACATTTATAAAACACAACCCAGTCCAATATGGCTTCTAGACAGCCCAAATGCCTTTGCAGCAAGGACTGGGCATAGGTGCAAAGCAATTCCAGTGTGCAGTTTCCTGCACAGCTACACTCCCTGCTCTAACTGAAGTTTATTTTCCACAGTACTCTGGGAAGAACACAGGACACCCACAGGTAGGAATTTGAAATGCAGTGCAGGCAGCAAGGAACTCTAAACCTGCTCATTGTGAACTGCTGATGAGCAAAGGGTTGAACACCACAGGTCATGTAAGCTCCCCACAACCAGCAGCTTCCAAGTGTCATCAGACCCCAGCTCCCTATGGGAAACCAGCCAGGTGCTAGCACTGCTTCACCTTTGCACCGCAGTCTGCCCCTTTGGAAATACAGAAACCTATGAAGACTGGATCTGCCATTTTCACGAGGATATTGTCCACACAATATACATGGACATACTGGATTCCACGCTGCTTCATATCATCCAAGATTTTATTATCCATCAAAGCACGGTATAAGCCACCATTGCCATCTATAATGCAAGAGAAAAGAGAAAGTTTTGGCTCATTTGTGACTTTGGGGTGGATTTTTTCTAGCTAACAGAGCAAAAGCAGGAAGTACTGAACAAACTTTCTTGAATGGAAGAGTATGGAATGCTTTCTAGCCAAGAACCAGTGGTACCAGATTTTATTTCCAGTTCTGCCACACAGTTCAGGGGAGCATGTTCTTCTTTTCACCCCTGTTCTCTCACTTGAAGAGTAGGACCATGGGGACCAACCTCACTGAGCAGCATTATGAGACTTTATGAAGGTTAGTAAGATCCTCAGAGGGAGAATACTAAAGGGCAAATCTATGCAAAGGGTGGGAAAAGTCTTTACACTTCTCCTTCAGTACAGGGCAAAACCATATTTATTTTCTTTCGTGGAGAAATACTAAAATAAATCTTATTCTCTGTTTATCTCCGCCCCCCCCCCCTTTTTTTCCCCCCCCCCCCCCCCCCACAACTTCTCAATACCTTTTCAAAGGCTTCAACTGCAGCTGTACAAAAGTCACCTGCATGTTTATCACAGATCACCCATTTACAGTTCCTACTGGGATGCCCCTGTCAGCTTGGGAGAACCACTCTGCAGCTGCAACGCAGTCCCAACTGGGCTGCCAAGTCTCTTACTATGTCTAGGTTAAAAGAACATTACAAGGTAAGACATTGCTGTCGTTTTGAAAAGAGTTCATCTTCTTGCTGCTTTTTTACCCATTTTCAGCTATCAGCCTTTAGCTCCTGACCTTCACCACAGGAGGCAGTGCTCCAGAGACCTCATAGAGAGCTAATGCACCTTTCTCCTACCCTGCAGCTACAGCACTTCTAATCCTGCCAACACTCCCAGACTTGGATAAAAAACGTGTGCTGTGGTCAAATGTCCAGCCAGAAATAAACAGATGTATGCTCCTGATTACCAGCCTGAAACATTAGAGAACCTTTCCACATTAACTGGAAGCATTAACCCTGACCCCCATAGCCTGCTCTGTGTGCCTGGGCAGGCTGATGGCCCACAGCAACTACCAACACATACGACAATACTGCAGTATGGAAGAGCAAACAGCAGGTACCTGGAGCCATGGCAATTTTCCCCTTCTCCTCCAAGATGGCCTTCCCATCAAAGGTGACAGCAGGCAGCATCCGCTGTTCAAACATGACAACATTGCATCTGTCCAAGTTGAAGTAGTTGTGTTGTACAAAAAACTCTTCTGTTGGCCCCAGTGTGAACTCACTTGTCATGATGTACCTGGGCAGGAATGGGGACTTGGCAATGAGAAAGAACAACACAAGCAAAAGGCAAAACTACCAACTGAAAAGAGAGGAATCCCAGGAGTGTGAAATGAGAGACATGGCAGCATCCCGTGGTGAGCAATTGCACACAAGAGCTCTCCTCCAGGCTGCATGGGGTCCTATGACCACATCAGGGCATGATCCTACCCTGGCCTAGCTCCAGCCAGGACAGAAGAGCCTTGCCCTAAATGTGAACAACATCTGCATACCTGGATGAGCTGGAAAACAAGACAAAGGGCAGAAAACAGCCTCATTCACTCTAGATTCAAACTAATGTTAAATGTTTATAGAAACCCTGGCCAATTCACTCTGCCAGCACCTCTTCAGTGCCAAGGCAAACAGCAGTATTTCCATACGTTGGCTGCATGGTTTGTTTTTGTCATAAGTTTTTCTACTTCCTCCTTTCCTTTCCTTTCAGCTCCACATTGCTTCTGTCTCTTCCTCCACTGCTGTCTAAAAGCCAACTTCATCATCTACCTGTCAAACTCTTCAACAACTATCAGCATAGGAATACAGGGTCCTCTGTCAGCATGAGGAAAAAGAGCCTGAACCTCAATTCCCCATCCCCAATTTTCATCTCTGTAGCACACCATAGCCTGGGCCCAGGTATACTGGAGCAGCAAAATGCTTCAATTGCCTCCTTGCCCCCAGGAGGGGAACTGGAAAGAAGATGTGGCATCTTGCAAATAATCCATCCTGGCTTCCAGCAGCACCAGGGATGATGCATTTGCAATTCAGGTCCTGTATACAAGGCTTCAGGAAGAAGCACAATATGGACTCATGTTCCATGAGGAAACAATGTATGAATCAAATTTGACCTCCAATTTGTAAAACAATGTGGCTCCCTGAAGCCCTCAGACACCTGCTCTTTCACTGCCAAAACCCTGCCTCAGACCAGACACTGATTCCAAAAGGGTATTTCTACATAGTCCTCATGATCCAGCAGAACATTTAGCAGAAAACATTTCCAGACACATCTGTAGTGCCATCCTCTCACCCACCACACCCCATAGGGAATTTACATTTTGCACTCTGCCCAGAGCTCATCTCTTTTGAAAGCCAGGAGCAGTCAGCAGAATGGGCAACTGTAAACAGTGACAGCAGGAGGTGGCCTGAACACAAAACAAGAGGTTTTTTGATAGATTATGGACAAGGGCAGGAAGAAGGGCTTGGAAGGCAAGCTCTAGGTTGTCCTCCATGCAGGAACCTGAGAAAGCAGAAATGGGTGAAATTTCTTGTAAAGCATCTGCAGCAATCACTGAAAAGTGCTGTTTACAGTGTTGTCAGTAGCTGCTTGCAAAGCCAGCAAGGTACAGCAGTTGTGGTACAGTGTTATGGTCAGTGATACAAAGGCAGTACTCAATCCCTCAGGTCTGCAGACATAGACCTGCCACCTCTCATCCCTCTGCACCCTCCTCCAGCCTCTGCCATCACAAATCCTGCCAACAAAAGGCTCCTCTCAACCTGTCTCTGCACAGCACCCAGCTCAGTGCTTCTTGAAGACAACATGGGCAAGACTGGAATGCAAAGAGCCCTGAACAGCAGGTCTGGCTTCAGGTCACCTACCAGGGAATGACACACTTGCAGTGGTGTCTCTTGCCAGCAAGCTGCTCCACTTTGCGGATTCTTTCTGCTTGGATCTGATACAAGTTCTTGCCACTGGGCAACCCCACGTTGTACATGCCCTTGGGATAGCTGACTCCCAGGCGGGTTCCTTGTCCTCCAGCCAGGAGTAGCACTGCCACCTTGTTCTGTGAAATCTGATGTAAACCTGTAAGAAAAGAAGCCCAAAGGAATATAAGAACTTCCAAAGCAATCAACACCCTATGTTCTTCTCCTGAGCGTTTCTGCACAGCTCAGGCAACAGCCAGAAGCTGCCAGTTCAATGCTGGCAGCTCAGAGAGAAATATGCCACTGCACACGCAGGAGAAAATTCCTTTCACCTACACGACGCAACAGTTTCTTCACCTAAAGCAACAACTGGTGCAAAAACAGACAATAGCCATGAGCTGCAGCTCAGGAGATTCAAATTAGGATACAAAATCTTTACTAGGGAGGTAGTGCAGCACTAGAAAAGACATCCAGAGAGGAAGGAATGTCCCCTAAGGTTTTCAAGGCTTACTTTAGTAAAGCTGTAGCTGACCTGGCCTGAGGCTGTTTACAGTTTTGTTCCAAATGGGGGTTGGACTAGAGACCTCCAGAGGTCCCTTATCATTTCTATAGCCCAAAGAAGCCAAGTCTCATCATCATGAGTAAAGCAGAAGTCTGGAACCTGCCTTAATCAATTATCTGTCCCTGTGCTCCAGCTTCAACAGAAGCTGAACACAGCTGCAGTCAGGGCTAGTAATACAGCCAAGCCTGCAGGAGCTACAACTTCCACAATCTAATTGAAACCAGTGTCAGTGCTCCTGACAAATCAGGGAAGTCCAGAACCTGGGAAAGAAGCAGAGCACATAATAAACACTTGGATCACTCTCAGACTCTGGTCCCTGCCTTCTCCAAAGTCAGCATCACAATAATGACTGACAACTGTGAGAAAGATTTTTCATTAGGGAACACTTTGAGTTTCTCTGGGGATGCAAGGAACATTAGGCTTGCCATGTCAGAAGCCACAGCTCTGCTGCAAGTAGCTATCGGGGCCTTCTGGCATCACACAGCACTGAACTGCCACTGCTCCTGCAGCCAAGGACAGCCTGTGGAGCACCCCAGTCTTCAGGAATCACCTCACATTAACCACAGCTGAGGCTAAAATATTCCTGATTTGGACTGAAACATATGGGGACCAAAGAAATTGAATTAGAAAAAAACAGGATTGGGTTTACGCTAATATTTAAATAATTGGCTGTTTAAATGAACAATAGAGCAAAAATACCAACTGCTGTTTTAACAACCTGGCTCAATTTTAATTCTGTCCAAAACTGCAGCTTCCAGCAATTTTCTCAGCAAAGACTTAAGTTGTCCATGACACTGCAGTAACACCATTCCCCTTCCCATGCTTACAAGTTTCAGTCTTACGACAGCAGTAACACAAGATTTCTCCCTAAACACACAGCTTCCAAAAAGACTAGTGATGTCTTGGCACACAGGAGGCTGGTTCCACAGCCACAGTTCTGCTGTACAGTAGCCTCTGGGGTCACAGGGCCAAGGAGTGAGAGCGGGAAGCCACCTCTGGAGATCTTCAATCCTCCAAGTGGGATTAGGAGAGCTTCCTAAGAAGAAACCTGTGTGTGGAAGTCTTGGGATTTCTAAGTTTCAGGAGGTCCTTGGACAGCAGGGGAAGCTTGAGTAGGTTTAAACTGGTAATGTAAAAGACATGGAGGACCTGGGTGAGCTGCATGGTGATGCAATAAGACCTACAGCGTTTCACAACAAACCACAAGCAATAAATGACTCCTTTGTGCCTCCACTGAGCTGCCTGTGACGCTCAAAGTAAAGAGCAGAGGGTCTCAGCTATTACTTACAACAAATACTTGCCCCAGTCCCATCACATGGTTTTCCTGCATGCTCAGCTGTTTGCCAGTGCAGGGCATCACTGCAGGAGAAGGGAAAGAGCTGAATGGAGAGGCACCAGAGCATGGTTCCAAACCTTCTCATGCCCCGGCTTGGGTGGTGGCTGTTTCCCTACTGGGATCCAGCACAGAAAGAATTTATGGAGTGGAAAAAAACTCCTAAAAAAGTTGCCCTGTGGGACATTTCCAAACTGTTCTGCCTCATCCCTGGAAATGCTCAACACCTGGTTGGACAAGGCCCTGAGCAATTTCATATAGTGGATGGCATTCACACCCATGGCAAGAGTGTGACAAAAAGAAAATCTTTTCCTTAACATCACTTCCAACCCAAACCATTCGGTGATTCTGTGAAACAGGCAATTAAAAAAATTTTTAAGAATTCTTTTTCTTTAAAATAATCTACAACCGAAACTTGAGCTGAAGTACTTCACAGCAATTTAAACCAAAGCTGCTTGAGGTCTGAGCTCAGCATTTGCTGCTCTCAGGTGCTGCAGCATGGGGGATGCTGGTTTGGAATGAGATTCACCCACCAGTGGAACAAGTCAGGCACTCGTCCTGCTAGATCTCCCCCCTGCACTGCCAGCCTCAAACCAACACACACACACACATTCTGATGCCACAGACCACATCCCCCAGCTCCCAAATAAGACATTTCTGCAGAGCAACAGACTGTGACCAAGAGCACCATTTACATGAATGACACTCTGAAGTCAACACTGTATTGGGAAAGTCAAGGAGGTCCCTACTCTGCTCCACAGCATCAAGGAGCTACAGTTCTCAGGCACAGCTCACAGGTGCCACAGCTGGCGTCACTGCACTGAAATGCAGATGCCCTACAGGACAGTTCTCCAAAGTTTTCTACACAGTGACAAGGGGATGGCATCTGCCCAAGGAGGAGTTGCCATCTCACACCCATCTCCTGGAGAGGCCTCTCACTGCAGGGTCTGAAACCTCAACCTCAGTGGGATAAACTCAAGCCCAAAGCAGTATCACTGGTAACACCAATGACGTGACTTTTTTTTACAGTCCAGCAGACTGACAGGGCCATATTCCAGGAGGGTTCACCATGGTGCATAAAAACAACCCAGACGGGGGAGTGCATCCCATCATTTATGGCATTCTCAGTATTTATGATACAACCCTACAACCCAGACAGTTTTTCCAAGTTCTGATCTTAGGTCACCATGAAAACAAATAACACCAAAAAATTTGAGTAAGTAGCTCTGCTTTTACTTCCCAACTGTAAAATTACCAACATTCACAACTAAAGTTCATAAGAATGACTCATATGTTGCAATGGAAAGATCTATCCCCTTTAAAACATCCACCTTATTTTCTGCAGCATATGAAACACAAACAGCTCAACTAAAGAGAAAATGTGTTGACTGCTGAGATACCCACCAATGCTGCAGTTAGTCCTACTCTGCATAAAAAAATAAAAAAAACCAAAAATAGATTTTGTAGGAGGAACAGACTGGTCTTGCAAGAACAGACTGAATTTTCTTACTAAACAGGCACATCAGTCAGTCCCATTACAACAGCAGTCAGTAAGAGAAAAACTCCAAACTTTTCAATTCTGCAGAGCAGTCAGATAACCAGAATGGCTCATCAAACTCTCTGATGAGATGGGGTACACCTCAGCCCATGGCCATGACTTAGATTTCATTAATAAAACACTGACAGAATGGAAAAGTGCCTCTGTCTATGTTTGATTTATACCATCATTCCTAGGGCTGCCCGGAAAATGTGATTGTTAAATGTCAGTGTTTAAGATCTGAAAGCAAATCCGACCAGGCAGTTTTGTTGTCTGAGACACAATAACAATAGTATTCGTTTTTTAACTATTTAAAAATATCTCAGGTTTTCCCAAAGCAAGTTTTCAGTTGTCTGGTTTTTATCCATAATTTTTTATCATAGAAAAAGGGGGAGGGGGAAGAAGGAGATATAATTTCAGCTGTTCAGGCTTTGGAGGATGCAATGCAGGTGGCAGCTGTGGGGAGCTCAGACACCCACAGACAGAGCAGAGCATCTCAGCTCAGTGTGATGATGACCCCAGAGGCACAGGCTGTACCAGCCATGCAGTCTCAGGGACACTGGACAGCAGGTAGGGATGGCTCATCTGCTCCCAGCCTGCTCAACACACCGCAAACAAAGGCCTTTCAGAGCTGCATCCCCTCAGAGACCCAAGATCTTGCAAAGCCTGTGCCCATGGTGCTGGTTCCACTGGGAAATGCCATGCAGGAATGCTGCCACATCTGCAGGGACACACAGTAATGCCCAGGTTCAGCAGAACGAAGTCTTTGGTCCTGATTGCCCTGTTACAGGAAATAAAATCCCTCTTCAGCCTTAAACCAGATCATAAAAACAAACCAAATGAAACAGAACATTGGTGTTTACCCCTTCTGGTAAAAATTCAGGCTGCCTGCAGGGCTGAGGTGGCCTGGAGCCATCAGACTTCAGGGCCAGATGATTTGGTCACAGGAGCAGGATCCCAAACATATTAGACCTGGGCTGCTGCAGGCAGTGCTGGTAACCAGCAAGGCCAGCCCACACAGGTGGCCTGGCCTTCCTTTCCTTTCCATGCTGCAGCCAGTGGCACAAGGCAGACACACCAGCTCCTCACTTGCCTAACTGGCTGGAGGACAAGTGACCCAGTTTGATAAAGCTGTCAGTTTAACTGTGGGGCCCTGACCCAGCCCCATCTGCCTCTAGGACTCAAAGGGTCCCTTCCTCCTCACTGTGACACCCTCAATAGCCATGCCAAATTGGACTTGGGGGTGTGGGTGGATGAGAAGCTCAACATGCCCTGATTGAGCACACTGGCACCCAGAAAGTCCCTGTGCCCTGGGCTGATACCACAAGGGGCAGGAAGTGAAAAGGGGAAATTCTCTGCCCTGCTCAGGTGAGACTGCACCTGCAGTGCTGCCTTCAGCTCTGAGGCTGTCAGCATGAGAAGGACACAGAGTTGCTGGAGCGAATCCAGAGGAGGCCATGGAGCTGCTCCAAGGGCTGGAGCCCCTCTGCTCTGGAGCCAGGCTGGGAGAGCTGGGGGTGCTCACCTGGAGTCGAGAAAGATACAGGAAGACTTCAGAGCCCTTTCCAGGGCCTAAAGGGGCTCCAGGAGAGCAACAGAGGGACTTGGAACAAGGGATGGAGGGACAGGACACAGGGAATGGCTTCCCACTGCCAGAGGGCAGGGATGGATGGGATATTGGGAAGATACTGTTCCCTGTGGGAGTGGGCAGGCTCTGGCACAGGTTATCCAGAGAAGCTGTGGTTGACCCTGGATCCCTGGAAGTTTCCAAGGCCAGGTTGGACAAGGCTTGGAGCAGCCTGGGACAGTGGAAGGCGACCCTGCCCATGGCAGGGGGTGGAATGAGATGGTCTTTAAGGTGCCTTCCAGCCTAAACCATTCTGGGATTCTATGATTCACTGTGCCAGGTTATGTTCCCTCCATCACCACTCAGCCCCATGAGTGGAATCTGACAGCAAAAAGGCTCCTCTGCCCTGTGACCCTGATGCTTCTATTTCTGTTTCTGCTTGGAAAATTTGACTCCCCTGCCCACACATCCTCACCTCTTTACTGGCAACGTTGGGCCAAGGCTGTGCAGCCAGTTGTCAAAATTTAGGCAAGTATCTCTACAACCCAGGTGGGTCTTCCTGGCTTTTTTAAAATTAAAATTATTTTCTAACAGTGCTGTTATGTTTTATAAAGAATGATCCAAGACACATATGAGCCCTTATAAATATATAAGAGTGTGCACTTAGAAAAAAGCACAGGACATCCATGTAAGATTTACATGCTGTGGGAAGAGCACATCCAGCCACCATTTCCCCCATTACACCTAGCTTTCACACAGCCGCAGCTACCATGCTCCAAAAACCACGGATTATGGACTTTCCTGGGCTTCTTCCAAATCCCTCAGCCTCCTGCTGCACATGACACAGCAAGGATGGAGATCAGCACCTGAGACTGGCCTTTGCACCTGTTGGTGAGCTGGGAGCTCATACTCCAGGCAGCTACCCAGCTCAGCAGCAATGAAATCCCCCACACTCCCATCCTCCCCAGGGACTCATAGTCATAGAATGGTTTGGGTTGCAAGGGACCTTAAAGCCCATCTCATTCCACTCCCTGCCACGAGCAGGAACACCTTCCACTACCCCAGGTTGCTCCAAGCCCTGTCCAACCTGGCCTGAACACTTCCAGGGATCCAGGGGCAGCCACAGCTTCTCTGGGCACCCTGTGCCAAGGTCTCACCACTCTCACAGAGAACAATTCCTTCCTAGTATCTAATCTAACCCTGCCCTCTGTCAGTGTGAAGCCATTCCCTCTGGTTCTGTCACTCCTTGTCCAAAGTTCTCACAAGCTCTCTTGGAGCCCCTTTAAATCCTTTAGTGTTACATTTTTTCATGACAGATACTGTAAATCATTTTGACAGAATACTCCCATGCCCTCTAAACAGTATTGTGTCATGTCCACTTGCTTTTTGAACACTTCCAGGGACTGTGACTCCACAACTGCCCTGGGCCGCCTGTGCCAATGCCTGACCACCCTTTCAGTGAAGAAACTGCCCTCAGTATTCAACCTGAATCTCCTTTGACACAACTTGAGGCTCTTTCCTTTTATCCTGTCGCTTGTTCTGTGGGAGGAGAGACTGAGCCCCAGCTAGCCATCACTACCTGTCACGGAGTTGTAGAGATCTTCTGACCCGGCCCGGCACGGCGGCGGGGCCTCGGCCGCTGCATTTCATAACGCAGAATGAAAACTCGGGGTCTCAACCAAAGTTCCCCGGGCCGAGGACACCGGCTGCCGCCGCTAAGGGCCGGGGTGTAGCCCTGACCCTGCTCTCTTCCTCCTTGCCCGACCCGCCGTCCCTGCGGCTCCCACCCGCGGTGCCGGGGGTGGACTGCCCAGCGCCCCGCGGTGCCACCGCAAGAGGCGGCTCCTGCCCCGGGGCCCCGCCGGGGGCAGCCCCTGTCCTGTACCGCCTGGGGCTCGGCGGAACGCGGCTGCTCCCGAACCCCCGCGCCGGACCCCGGCAGCCCCAGAACGGAAGGGACAGGCGGCCTCGCGCCCCTCTCACCTTCCGCCTCCCAGTGCTGCAGCGCGGCGGGGCCGCTGCGGCGGGCGCTGCCCAGCAGCTCGGGGGGGAGCGGCTCCATCCGGCCGTCCAGGCGCTCGTGCGGGCCGCGCTGGCGGGCCCCGGCCGCCGCCGCTAGCCGGCAGTGTTCGCCCAGCCCCGGCGGCAGTGCCGCCAGCAGCGCTCCGCGCTGCGCCGTGTCCAGCTCGGCCCAGAACCGCAGCAGATGGCCCTGTCCGCACCGCTCCAGCCGCACCCGCACCTCCTCGGGAGGGTCCATGGCGCGGGGAGCCCGGTCTGAGCGGCGCGGGACGCGGCGGGAGCGGGCGGGCCGGGGCGGAGCCAGATGTGCCGTCCCGCCCCCGGAACTCCTCCCCGCCGCTCGCGGGTCACGCGGTGCCGGGGTTCGGGCGCCGAACTTCTCGGTGGGAGGGTACGGGAGGCGGTTCTGTGGTCGCCCCACTCCCGGCCTCGTAGGAGCCCAGCGCAGCGCCTCCGCCGTGGAATCACAGAATAGTCTGAGTTGGAAGGGACACTCAGGGGTCATGGAGTCCAACTAGTGGCCCTGCACAGCAGATACTCCTTGAGCTCTGTCAGCTTGGTACTGCGCCAATTCCCTGGGGAGCCTGTTCTGGTGCATAAACGCCATCTGGGAAAGAGCCTTTTTCTGATATCCAAGCTGAACCTCCCCTGACACAACTTTCAGGCCATTCCCTGATGTCCTGTCCCGGTCACCACAGAGAAGCAATCAGTGTCTATCCCTTTAGTTCCCCTCACGAGGAGGCTGTAGACTGTCAGTCTGACCCTCAGTCTCCTTTTCTCCAGGCTGAACAGACCAAGTCTCAGCTGCTTCTCATTCAGCTTCCCCTCAAGGCCCTTCACCGTTGTCATTGCCCTCCTTTGGACACTCTCTAATGGCCTAATGTCTTTATTTTGTGGTGCCCAAAACTGCCATCAGGGTGAGGCCACCCCAGCCCAGAGCAGAGGGGGACAATCCCCTCCCTCGACCAGGCCGTGATGCTGGGCCTGATGCCCCCAGGACACAAATGTCCCTCCTGGCTCTAGGGCACTGCTGACTCACATTCAACTTTCTGTCAACCAGGACCCCCAGGTCCCCTCCTGTGACGCTGCTCTCCAGTATCTCATTCCCCAGCCTGTTTGTATATCCAGGGTTGCCCATCCCAAGTGCAGAATCTGGCATTTTCCCTTGTTGAACTTCATATTGTTGGTAATTGCCAAGTTCTCTAAATTGTCCAGGTCTCCCTGCAGAGCCTCCCTCCCTTCGAGGGAACCAACAGATCCTCCCAGCTTTGTATCATCTGCAGAGTTGCTCAGTTTCCCTCCTAGTCCTGTGTCCAAGTCATTAACAAAGATGTTGAAGAGCACAGGGCCAGTGATGGAGCCCTGCAGAACACCACTAGTGACTGGTGCCAGCCTAATGTCACCCCAATCACTGTCACCCTTTGTGCCCAATCCATGAGCCAGTTGCTCACCCATCACATGACGTGTTTACCAGCTGAATGCTGGACATTTTATCTGGAAGGATACTATGAGAGTACTAGCAAAAGCTTTAGTGAAGTCCAAAAAGATTACATCAACTGGCTTTCCTTCATCAACCAGGTGGGCGACCTTGCCATAAAAGGAAATCAGGTCTGACAAGCAATTTCATGAGGCTGTGCTGGCTGTGACCAGTGACTGTGTTGTCTTTCAGGTGTTTTTAAATAACTCCCAGAATAATCTTCTCCATAACTTTACCAGGCACTGAAGTGTCACTGTCAGGCCTGTAGTTTCTGGGGTACTCTTGAAAATTTGGCCCTGTGGCCAAACCTCTGCTCTACAGTGGCCATGGTCCTGTGGCTGTCATGAGGTGTGTCTGATGGCATCCCCAGGTCCTGGTGCAACCTGTGGCAGGAGGTCCCAATGTTCCATCTAACACTCACGCTTGGAAACATTGCAAGGTCGCAGGGTTCCCTCAATGCAGCAGGAGTTGGATAGGCCCAGCTGTGCCCCAGGCATGGTGCAGACTCAGGCCACCTGCTCACAAATCCAGTTCCCCATTTTCAAAATAAAGTACCAATGAAAAGGATAAGAGTTAAAAATGCACAGAATCACTGAAGCAGTACAGGACAAATTCAAGGACAAATAAAAAAAAATTATAAAAGATGAAGGAATGATGAAGGAATAACCAAATCTGCAGGAACCAAGAGCCATGAACTGAGAAGTAAAGAGCAGGAGGACACTACAAATCAATCTAAAATGCCAAAGAACAGCTCTGTTTGAACTTTGTGCTCATGAGCATAGAAAAATCCTCACCCATAGGCTGTGATTGCCCCTTACTCACAGTAGTCATCCTGCCTGCAGTCAGAGCCCAGCTGGGTAGGAGAACATGAGGAGACAGACAGCAGCTTAGACACAGCCACCTCCCTGCATGTGATTGGAGTCAAGGAAGCTAGACCTCGTCCGGATATGACCATCAGGTCAGGAAGAATCCCTGAGAGTTGTCAAAGCTTCTGTTTCACATTCTGTTTCTTATTTTATGTGACTTGACACAGCTCCTGCTCAGAAGAGCCTTGGGGTTTTGAAACCTGCTTGCTCTGCTCCCCTTTACATGACATCTCTCCCCGATGCGGTTGCATGCCCTGCCTGCCCAGTGTGCAAATGAGTGCAGGTCCTTCCACACATGTGGTGCCTACATAACCACCAATCCTTATCCATCAGAAAAGGCTCTGTCAGATCCAACTTGTAAATCAAGCCCTTCCTTTTCCTGCAGAACTTGCTGCCTTGCCTTGAGGGAATCCCGCCTCAGAGCTGTGGGATCTCATGCCCATAGGATTCTAGAAGAACCAAAGTAAATCATGCTGCTGCTGGCAAATGTGCTCCCACTCCCCAAATCCAGCCATCCAGCAGAACAGGTTAGTCTGGCTGCACAGCATCCCTTTCGCTGGTTCTACAGCTCATGGCACTCTGTGTGTAGATATTTTCTTCTGCAAAGCAATAAAAATGGTGATGGGTTGGATTAGTTGTACCAGGCAGAACAACCCCAGTGAACAGGAGGGATGCTTGGGCCAAACAAAACACAAACATGCAGGTAGAATAGGAAATTCAGTAACAAAAAAGCTCTAGCTCATTTGACAATCAGGGTGGGGTATCCCATGGACGAGAGAGGCAGAGGTTATTGTGTTTAGGACCTTGCTCCAGGCTTCAACAAGTAAGTACCCACTGATAGGAAAGACATGTGCTAATGTCTTTATAAATGAGTCAGTTGTGAGGGTCTTTAAGAGAAATGGGTGTTAGTATCTTTGAAATGGGTCTTAATCTACAAACATCAAGCCGCACAAATTTGTTACAGAACCCAAACAGTTTGACCAGACAGTCTGAGCTTCTGAATTTCAGGATAATAGGAGAAATGAGTCCACACAAATTCTATTGCAGAACCCAGACAGTCTGAACTTCTGGTGGTCTACAGAACAAAGCCTGAACTTCTTAACTTTGGGGGAAAATGTCAATACATGTTCAAGTGTGGAATATGTGGTGGGCAGTTCCAGGAGACTGTACCTTCCTAGTATCTCAGCCAGTGGGGAAAGGAAGAGGGCAAAATATGTGAGTTTGAGGAGAAAAGGAAGCTGTGTCCTGTGAAACTTCGAGAGAGATCCCACAGGGGTATGGCCCAGTGGACTCTCTTCCTTTATTTGAATAAAGTTGAAGGACTCCTCTGTCTACTTTGTGGACACTGACTTTTCCACAGACCAGCAATATGTTCCCCAAAGAAAAATGGTTTTACAGTCATTCCCTGAACAAGGTGACAGGCTGATAGATTTCTGGCTGTGGCACCACTGTGACTGCTGTTGCCCTTGGCCACTCCTGACCTTCTTGGCAGCACAAGAGTGGAGTTTGTGATAGGACAGAGTGATTGCTAGATGGATTCTGACTGGGAGCCTTGCAGCATCTATTGGACTTCCATTTAAGCCCCAGGTGATTCCCTCTAGTTAAACTTTCTGTGCTAAGACTGCAGGAGAGGTGGCATGGTGAGACAGGATGGAGTGACTGCTATTTCCTCCTAATACCAGTTCTTGCTCTGTGGGCTGAGGTGAGCAAACAACCCACCACCCTCTGGATAGCTTATTTCAACAGCTCACTAGCTGTCCTTCTCCTAGCTCTTGTGACAGCCTCTGAGCCACTGGGCATCTACCAGACTTCCTGCTTGCTGACCTTCTGGGGGAAAAGTCTGGAAAAAAGAAAAGACACTTTATGACAAGTACCTGGCCCTCACCAAGGCAAACAGAGCAGAAAGATGGAAAACACAATGGCATTGCAGAGCTGGGAAGATCAAACAAGATATCTCTTCCCAAAGGGAAAACTCTCCCACCATACTCTCCTCACTATTTTTAGCCTCTGCTAAGAGGTCTCCTTGGAGACAGATGCATTTCTGGATTGACACTTTGGTACCCCAGTGGAAGTAATTCCCTGCTAGCTTTGAGGCTGAAAGAAGAGTTAACACTGATTGTGCTTAATTGTTCAGTGACAGGAAGTACCAGGACTTGGCACCTAGACTGTTGTTAGCATAGCTCCTGGTCTAGTTTTAACCAAGCCCCAACCAACCCTGCCAGGTGGTGACCTGCACTGGTCAGGAACAAACCCATTTCAGTTGCAGCACTTCATGAGCCAGTGGCAGTGCCAGCTGTTCCATGTTCCAGGCAGCAGCATGCACACATTGAGTCCACAGACCTGTGTCTGGTTCCGCACCAGACCTTGCTCTCCCCTGGAAAGACATGGCAACAGAGGTTCATAGCATCTGCTTGGACATGGTCATCAGGAAACAACTTTGTGGCTGTAAGTCACCATGTGTCTTCTGCAGCATCAAGATTTACATGTGAAAACCTACCTGCTGCCGAAGCCAACACAGGGCTCAATCAACTGCTACAATCACTTATCAGCACCCTTCTGTGGTCAGTGTCCTATGTAGGAAGGTGCCCTAGTCTCCAACACCAGCATTTCTTTACCCCAGTGCCCTGCTGAGGTTTGGTGCAGCTACTCTGGCCTCTCCTCACAGAGGTGGCAATGCTGGTTGGTGGGACACAGTGGGCAGCCACCAGCCTCCAGCAGATACCCTGTGCCCTCCCGAGGCAGGGGCAGTGATATGTTGGGTGTCACCACACCAGAGCCGTGTGTGTCGCTGCCAGTACCCACAGGCCAGCAGAGAGAGAGGGCCAGGCCAGGTCTGAATGGCAGCTGGTGCTTCCCAGTAGGTTGACAGAAGGAGAGCTGAATAACCACATTGTTTATATTTAAAAAAAACAAAGACATCTCTGTTTGTCAGAAGAGTCTGGGCTGGCCCCAAGACAAACTATATAGTGAGAGAAAATAAACCCTCCCCTAAAAAAAAACCAAAAAAACTACCCACAAAATACCAAATCCCCAAGAAGACTTTTCCAAGAATATCCAAAATCTCCCTAACTTCATCCACCAGCACCCTGAGGATGGAAATGTCAACCTGTCTCAAAGCAGCTTTGTCAAAGGCACTTTGGTACAGGAAACGCAGTAAGAGCAGAGCTGCCCTCGGCAGTTGTGTCCCAGCTCCCAGTGCTGGTGCAGGAAGCTCCACACGGACAGCAGTGAGAGTACTTCAGCTGAACTTGCAGACACAGTAAACACCAGGAGCTGTATCTGGTATCTCTGGTTCACTTTCCTGGTGGGATAGACTGGCTAGGCACAAGACATTAAGGACATTCTGATTTCTCCCTGTTATTCCTGGGTGTTCCTGCAAAGTCAGAGATGGGGGAGGAACCTGGAGGAAATCCCCTTTTTTTGCAGATCAAGCTTTTGCTGAGCAAAACAGTCCACGAGCTGATGCTGCCAGAGCTGAGCAGCACCATAGTGACTGCCTTGTTTTTGGACTAGGAAGCGTAGGGAAGCACTGGTTCCTTCTCCCCGTATCCTGAGCAGGTGTGAACCTGTTCAGTCAAACACAGCTAAGCCAAGCAGACATCTCAAACAGGTAGGATGGGTCTGGGAAATTTATGAAAAGAAATGAGTTAAAGAAAAGCAGGCTGTGAACAGCTCACTGCAGCATGGAGAGCAGCAGGAGCAGGACCTTGATAGAGAAAAGCTCTCTGAGGGTCTCCAGAGGCTGCGGTGATTTACCTGGCAGCCTGGGGCTGGCAAGGCTGAGTCTCCATGGAAAAGAGAAGTGGCAAGAATGGAATGAGAAGCCAGAATTAGGACCATGGTGCTGAAGACACTTGGATGAAGCCTGACCTGGACAGGGAATCTGATGGCAAGGGCAGCACAGCAAGGGCCAGGTGGGTGGGAGGGCTTGAGCCCCAAGTAACTTTCACCCTCTTCCTTCTAAGCCAACTCAGAGCTAAAGGGAATCACCCCTGGCACGCACGTGGCACAAGGAGGTATCTGTGGCACATGAAGATGTCCATGACACAGGCAGTCTCACAACCTGAGCTCCTGGACAGTGGTTCATCACCTTTCCTGGCCATCACGCTTCTCCAGCAGGCTTGCTCCTTGACGCTCCTCTCAGCATCATGAGCATCAAACCAGGGTGCGGGGTCTGGAGGTGCCTGCGTGTGGCTGCCCAGAGCCCCTTGAGCAAACTGAAGTGTCTCTGATATGGGAATCATGACACCAGGGCTTTGCAGTCTGCTGTCTTGCAATGGACTCTCTGGTCAAGGGAGTTTGCAGAGGAGGCAGCACCTTGCACTAGGATTAACATGCTGCTGTGTCTAACAGACACAGCAAATTTCCCTGTAAAGTAGAGAAACTCATTCTCTTACCAATGCCAGTGCATATTAAGTTTGTAAAAGATAAGAGCCAAATCCTGTTTCTCTCACTTCTGTCAACACTTGTGGGTTTTTCCCTCCTTTTTTATGTCTGTGGTTCAATAGGGCCCCTACCCCGTCTCCTGTTGGCTGCTGGCCACTGGTGCCTTGCCAGCCATGGCACTGGGAGGATGGGATTCTATTCCCTCTGTCAGTATTTATTTCCCCCATGGCACCAGACAAATACACCACACAGGACTCCTCCGTGCTAGTGCACTACATCCCCCTCCTGTAGGGATGCTCCATTGACTGATGCTTCTTGGATGTGTTTGCAAAGGTGGCAGTAAGAGTGAATACCATTGTTGGGATTTTCCTTATCCCTGTTCACTAATCACATTGTCTCTGAAGTCTTTATAAATTGTGCTTCTTTTGGCTGGGTTAACATTAATTATCTTCACAGTAGCTGTTATGGGGATAGGTTTTGAATTTGTGCTGAAAATATGGAGACCAAAAATACAGTGTTGACAATACGGAGATATTTTGCTTATTGCTGGGTGGTGCTTGTACAGACCCACGGTCTTTTTTGCTGCTCACCCTTCCCCACCAGGGAGGGGAATAGGGGTGCTTAAGGTGTTGGGGGGTTATACAGCCAAGACAGCTGACCCCAACGGACCCAGGAGATATTCTGGACTATACAACATCATGCTCAGTTTACAAAGCGGGGGGAAGAAGGAGCAAGGATTTGGCGCTTGTCGCGGTCCCTCGTCCACAGGGGAAGGTAGGGCTCCCGCCGCGAAAGGAGCGGGACCGCCGCGACCCCCGGGACCCGCGGGCCCAGGGCGGGGCGGGCTCCGCGTGCAACTCAAATTGCCGTGCGACCTCTCAGCCAATGGCCGGAGCACCTTCCCGCCGCCAGCCAATGGAAGCGCGGCACTCTCCGCCGCCAGCCAATAGGCGCGGGGGGCGGGGGAGCTGGGAGTAACGCTCGGAGCGGCGGCGATGGCCCCGGAGCGTGGTGACCGCCCGCTCCCCGCCGGTACCGAGGGTCTTCCCCGGGTTTTCCTGCAGAGCCTGCGGACTCTTTTCGATATCCTGGATGACCGGCGGCGGGGCTACGTGCACCTACGGGAGATCGAGTCGCGCTGGCGGGGAGCGGAAGCCCAGGAGCTGCCCGCCGGGGTGATGGAGGGGTTGCGGCAGGCGGCGCCGGCCAGCGGGTACCTCACCTTCGAGAGGTTCGTACTGGGGCTGCGGGCGGCACTGCCTGGGACTGAGCCGCCGGTGGAGGGTGGCAGCGGCGGACGGCGGAGCGCGGAGAAACCGCCGAGCCCTCGCTGTTCCGAGGAGCGGCGGGGAAAGAGCACCGGACAGCGGGAACCGGGGCACGGCCAGCCCCGAGGCCGCGGTGAGTGGCGGGACTGGACTGGGGGCTTCGGGCTCGAGGGGGTGATGGCAGCGCCAGGGACGGGGAGTGGCGCTCGGAGGTTGGGATGCGATCCCGCGGCTCACCCCGCTCCCCTGTGCCCTCCTCTGGGCTCAGAGCCAGCGGTTCCCGCAGGGCCGGTGTAAAACTCCCCAGGGTTACTCTTAGTACTGACTGGTTTGGCTTCGCTGAACTCCAGTTCCGGAGCGAATATCCCAGCGCCGCCGCTCGCCCAGGGCTGTGCTTCCCTCGCGATGCGCTGGGCTATTTATAGCCGTGACAGGAGGAATTAAGGGCTTTGCCGTAATGTGTCCGTGGTTGTCCCTTGGAGTAGAGACTGTCCTGACCTTTTTCGGGGGTGGGTGGCGCAGCTGGGCGTCTTGGAGAATGGCTGGGTCCTGGGGACCCCCAAAGCCGGGCAGTTTCGCTGGGGTGAAGTTATGGTCACGGAGCAGCCGTGTGCTCGGTGGACTCTGTGCTGGGCTGGCTCTCAGGAATGATTCCTTCACGACGTCTTGCATGGTTTAGACAAAAAATGCAAACCCTGATCCAGCTTTTTGGTTTGGATCATTCCACAGCACTATTCCCAATAACAAATAATTAATCAATGAATAAATGGGGGAGGAGTACCAGCGCGATGTGCTCTGCTGTCCTAGGCTCTGTCCACAGAGCTCACCTGTACATCCCTGTGGACTCTGCCCTTTCCACGGGATCTGGGCTCCCTGTGCTGGCTCTGCCAGAGCCCTCCAGGGTGTACACTGACCCTACCATGGGGGAGACTGTTTCACTCGCATCTTGATTTGTTGCTAGTCAGTAGAAGATGTTATAAGGAAACCAGGCTTCTGGGCTTATCTGGGTAGGTAATAATTCTTTATCTAGGTTTGTGAAGTGCTTTGAGATCACAGGAGACAAAGTCTGTGTGTGGAGCTGGTACATGTTATTGCACCACCTGAGTGCAATGACTTCCTTCTCCTTGGGAAGGTCAGGCTGGTTTGCCTTCCCTTCCCAACCCAGTCCCTTCTGCTGGGTGGAGAAGGAACTTTTAACTGTTACTGAGGTTCTCTGCTTTCCATTTTTGCCTCCAGACTAACCACTAGAGCTACATCTAAGGGAATGTTATTAACCAGCCTTAAGCAGACTAACTTTTCTGTCATCAGGAGTGTAAATCTGGAAAAACCTGAAAAAAATCCTGCTTGGTGAATAGACAGCAGGTTGAAAGCTCTGCCCTGGGAAGGAGCAAGCAGATGACTGCAGCAGCTTTCTGCTTGCTGAGGATCTTTCCATTACAGTGTGATGTTCCATAACTGTCCAGAGCCTGCGGGCAGGGTTAGTGCATTAGCCCTTGCTGCCAGCATCCCACGCTGCAGGGCTGTATTTTGGCAAGAGGTCTGAGTTTCAGCTTCATTCAGCAGCTTAGAAAATGGTACAACTCAGTTATTCCATCTCTTTTAGCTCTAGATCCTGCACAACTGCCCAGTGCACTCCTCTACAGGTGCTTTCCCAGGGTGCAGTTGAACAGGTGGATGTTCTCAGCTGGCTGCAAGGCAGTTGGGCAGAGCTGTGGCAGCATGTGGCTCCATCCCTGCTGCGGAGATGTGTGGTGGGTGCTGGGAGCTGCCTGTGGCTCCAGGAGCACCTGTCTCCACTAAGATTATATCATTTGGGTGTGAGGCTACTCTGAGCCTCCAGCTGCATGTGGTGGCTTCTGTAAGACCCCAGCCAAGTACGGTGAGGTGACGTATCAGTGCTCATAAGCTCCAGTGAGTGGGAGGAAGTGCTCCCTGCCTGCATTTTGGGTGAAGAGGGTGCTCACAGAGTGCCTTCCCAGCTCTGCTTTGGGTCTGAGGAGCACCTACACGTGTCAGAGGTGATTTGGATGCGACTCATGGCAAAATGGCAGAGGTGGGGGCAGATGATTCTCCTGGCATGTCCAGGGGTGCAGTGAGCCAGTGGGACAACAATTCTGTTCCCTCTCCCACGCTAACCTTTGCTAGTGTGTGGGCAGAAGTGCTTCTGAGGTCCATGCTTAAGTCAGCTTCCAGCTTCTCCTCAGCCCAGCAGTGCTGGTGCAGTCTGCGAGCTGCTGCTTGGCACCCCATGGTCCCTGGGGAGCCAACAGCACCCTCTGGACGCAAGGGTGGTGAGCTGGACATTGGAGAAGTCACAGGGCAGGGAAGTCACCATAATGATGTCCCAGTGTTATGGTGCCTGATGTCTTGTCACAGCAGTGTCTGAATGCATTGCTCTTGGGGGTCTTTACCCAGTAGCTCCCCTGTGAGCTGGGACCTGGAGAAGTCAAGGCACAGAGCAGAAACAGCCCCTGTTTCTGAAACACTGGCTCCTCCCCAGCACAGTGCCTTCCCTTGCTCCAGGGGTGGCTTGGCTCTAGCAGCTGGAGAGCTGTTGTTGGCACTAGCTGGAGGGAGGAGATGGTTTGTAGGGGCTTCTCTGGGCCGTTGCCAAGGATACTTGTGGAGAAGTGTAAAACAGCCATGAAGTGTCTGCTTGCCCTAGGCAGAGGGGGTCCCAGAGGGAGGAAGGAGCCTGTCCATTATCACATGGCAGGATCTCTTCCACCTCTGGTGATCTGATCCTGTTCTTTTCCTAAGAACAACTATCCCAGCTCATTAGCAGGGGTCCTGTTTTAGCCACTAGCTTGTCATCTCAGGTGTGCAGAGCTCAGTTGGTTAACCAGGAGCTCCTGCTTATCATGTGTGCAGCTCAGGTCAACCCAGCACTTCTAGGTAACTGCAGTAAAAAGTGTTTTAACATGTGTTTGTCCTGCAGCTCCTACCAGAAGTGCTCCTAGCTTTGCCTTGGGATTCTGACTGTTGAGAGTATCCTTGGTTTTGGGGCTGTTCCTCAGCTTTTTGAGCAGGACATACTACAGGTCTGCTAGGACAATGTGTGTGGTCACAGCAGTCTTGCTGGGTTCCTCCCAGATAGATTTGGGTGTATGAAACCAAAGGGAGCCGGCAAAGCAGACGGATGGGTGATATCAAAGACTTTGTGTTCACAAATGCTTTGTGTTCGCTGATGTGCCAGAGTGCTTGCTGGGAGGTGGAGTGAGATACTGTGATGGACCCGAAGGCGGGCTTTGCCCAGTGACAGACACAAAGTGACCACCTGAGGTGTTGCATTGCCTGCGGCCCTGGAGCCAGTCTCCTATCCCTGAACCGGTGTGACTGTGGCAGCAGAGGCAGCCCTGGTACACAGCTCCCACGCCTTGTACTTTCAAGACAAAGGGTGGCTCCTGTGGCCATGGCTGCACTCTCCTGCCTCCTGTCCTTCCTCTCTCATGTCCATGTGCTCAGCTGAGGAAACTTGTGGAGCAGAGGGGAGAAATGTGCCAGCCCATGTGGTGCCACACACCCTGTCCTGGCACTCACAGCCCTTTCTGTGCCTGCGGCAGGGAATGTGCCAGACCTGTGCCAGGCAGCTCTGGCAGAAGGATGTGCGAGGGGTAGGGGTGCCTGGCAGACACATGGGGAGCTGTCTTGGGAAGAGGGCGTTTTCCCCAGCTGCCTGCCATCACTTGCCTGCTGCACTGCCTGCTGCTCTTGAAAAGCCACGTTTGGAAAGGAACTCTTCAGGAAACCTGTGTGCAGGGAGCAGGCAAGCTGTGGGACTGAGGGGGTGGCATGAGAGAGGGTGGGCTGGGCACTTGGCTGGGGACTGGGGCAGGAAGGGAGGAGCAGCAGGCTGCTATCCAGACTTGCCTGGGCGTGTGCTGGCTGCACCCCTGGCTGCCCTGATGCTGTGGTTTGGGATGGTGGGGTGTCAGGGTTCTGCTCTACCAGCTCACCTAGCAGTGGATCGGAGGTGGCTTGGCTGGGATTGCAGGGCTGGGTTTCTGGTGAGGGTGGGCAGTGTGGGGCTTGTATGGCCTTCACTGCAGGTGCCCAGGGAATTCCTGCCCTGGCTGACAGGTAGGAGGTGCCTGATCCAGCCTGGAACATGCCAGTATGAACTTAATCTTCAAAAACAGGTTATGCATGAATTTGTATCAGCACCATGTGTTTTTAGTAGATTGGGCTTTTGCAGGATAAGATGTTGGGGTTTTAATAAAAATTTTGGAAAATCTACAGTCTGATTTACTTTATGGTTACATCATAGATGTAGTGTCTGGGCTGAATATTCACATGGCCAAATCCATCACCAAGCAAGAACTGCCTTCAGGAGAAGTTGCTTTCCTGGCAGAGCTGATGCCACCTGAGTGGAAGCAAGGTGTCCCATGAGGACATGTGAGGGCAGACAATATCACTAATGGTTTAGTTGCCCCGGCTGGGACTGAACCAGCTTTGCCTGGAAGCTGCTTGCTTTCTACAGAAGATGACTGAGATCTGTTGCCAGCCTGGCACAGCCGAGTCAGTCATCCCTGACATCTGTTCTGCCTGGACAAAAACAGGAGCAGGCTCTCAGGCTGCTGATTTGCTCAGTCTCTCCCTGTTTGCAAGACCACCCTGCAGATCATCTCACAGAAGTGGTCCTGAGGAGGATTTTGTTGAAAGCAGCTTGTAGCCTCATGCCTTCCTCTTTTCCAGGTGGTGATGCTAAGTCTGCTGGGAAGCCCCAGGGAGACAGTGACCACCCAGGGGCTGGGGACACTCGGAGGCATCAGAGAGGCCGTGCAGAGCACCGGAGACACACCATCACCAATGGCGTGGACTTCAGCATGGTAAGGGAGTGTTGTGGGCTCCCATGAAGGGGAGGGTGGGTTGCAGGGGTCCCTCATTGCTGGCACCATCTCTGGGCTTTGGCTTCCTCTCTGCCCGCCCTGCACAAGTGAGTTGTGGGACGTCAGACAAATCCTGATATTTGGATGTGAAGGTCTGTTGATGTATGTGGATGTATATTGTTTCCAAGGTGCTTTCCTGAATCATGCCAAACAGGGAGGAGGTGGATCCTTCCCCGACAATGGGTCAGCCCATGAAGCCAGTGTGTTGGCTGCCTTCCCCATGGGCAGGGTCTTGGGAAGAAGAAGACAAAGGTGGAGATGTAGGAACAGATGGATCTCTGGGCCTTAAGAGCACCCCAGCAAGGGTCAGGTATGCTTTGTGCTGGCAAGCAGTGGGGCCAAGCTATGCCCCCTCCCAGATATTCCATGTAGATCAGGGCTCAGACATGCAGGTCCTCTTGGCTTCTGACAGACTTCTTGCAGCAAAGCAGAAAAATGAACACTGAATTTATCAAGGCAGCCCAGAATGGAGGGGTCTGCTTCTCTCTCTCCACTGCTGAGTGGAGAGACTTGGATCAAATTGCCTGGGTGAAGGGATCTCTGCTTGCTCCCAGGTGGAATGGAGTAGTTGCCTGGGCATGTTGTCCACAGACTCAGGCTAAATTGTCCTGGGCAGAGAGCCAGGACCAAGCTGGCAGGATGAGTACTTGGTGGCACTGTTACCACTGTCCTTTCACTCCTTGCACCCTGGTGTCACCCTGCTCCTGCAGCCCAACAGGCCTGAGCAGCGGTGCCCAGCCTGTCGTTGGCCTTGGGGGACACAACGTGCCCCAGTGCCAGCCTGGGGAAGGGATGTTTGTGCAGGTAATTTGCTGGGCTTGTAGCCATGACAGGGACCTCTGCTGGGAGGTGCTGATAAGAAGTGATAAATGTTGCTCTGTGTATCTGGGATTGAGGGCTCTGTTTCTTGGGGTTTTGGGGGTTAGGGAGAGAGGAAGGTCTCTGCTTCCCTTCCCTCTGTGTGCAGCTCTGGGCTGGAGTACATCTCAAGGTCCCAAGCTCAAGGTGCTCTGTGAGGGGAGTGGTGGCCACCATGTCTGTCCCCAGTTCTGCCATAAGCATTCTTGCTTAGGGCTTGTGTTGCCTTCGTCTCTGTTCCACCACGTTGTCATGTGGGCAGTGGGAGGGATGTCCCCTCCTTTCCTCTCTCCCTGTATGTCACCAAGTGCTGCACTGCCTTTCTGTGCTTTTGGCCCCAGAGAAAGGATGTTTCAGCCTTCCCTGACACCCTGAGCACAACCTTTAGGCACTGGTGCCATTTCCAAGCTTACAGAGACAGCTGGAACAAGTTTGGGTCCAGCAACGACTGAATCTTTGTACTGTCACCTCCCTTACCCCTCCCTGCCCCGATGTTGGGCTCCCAAGGGACAAGGAGCTCAGTCATTAGACTAATTTGCCTAAAGCCTTTGGGGAATGGGAGCACTGGTGTCCATCCTACATCCCGAAGTGCAGGGAGCAGAGCTGGGGAGGCTCTGCTGCAGCCCCAGGACCCTTTGCACTCTCTCATCTAGTGCTCGCTCACTCAGCTGGTGTTTTTCACCAGCCAGTCCCTCATCTGTTGGCCTTATAGTCCCATGCCATGAGGGTGGCTGAGATGAGACCTTCCCTGAGAGGTGGAGCACTGTCATTTGTAAGCAGCCCAGGGCACAGCTCTGTTCCCTCCCCTTTGCCAGCCACCGAGCACCAGCCAAGTCCAGCACTTTGTTTTTCTCCTGCCCCAAGTGTCTCATCCTGGCGAGATGCTTCCTGTCCCACACTGGGCAGGGCTGGCATGTCCTTCTGTTCTGTGGAATGCTCTCTCTTCCTCTGGTCTCTGTGCTGGCCAGCAAGCCCTGTGGGAGGAGGGCAGGACAGGCAGCAGTGGGCTGCACCCCCAGCTGGATGGGGCTCCTTGCCACATACGGCACCTTCTTCATGCCCCTCAGCAACAGCACTAAGGCTCTGCACTTCTTCCTCTGGGTATGTCCCTTTGGGCCATTGGAGAAGGGTGCAGAGGGAGTTGTTGTGTTGCAAAAAACATTTCCAGGAGCAGCAGGAGCAAGAGCAGCCCCAGTGTAATGGGTGGCAGGTATGGGATGCGGAGAGGCGTTGGGGCTGGCAGTGGGGACGTGGAAATGCTGATGGCCTGAAGAAGGTCTTGGTATGGTGCCACTTGTCCACAGGGTTCTGTTCAGGGTTATTTCTGAGCTGCACCACTCCTGATGCTCTCCAAAGGAGGAGGTTCTGGTGCATCCAGCATTTTCTGGGTGACCCAAGTCTCTGGTGCCTGTGGATCCCAGGCTGTGCTGTGGGTGAAGGCCAGGTTGTGTTGTGGCAAAGAAGGCAGAGGCAGCGAGGCAGGAAGTTCCTCATGCCCTTGGGAGCTGGGGGGGTGGCCTTGTATTGAAAAGAGAAGGGCCATGGGGTCACAGGGTGAGGGTGAAGAATGGGTCACTGCAGTTGCTCTGTTCCCCAGGGATGTCCCCTCATCCCTCTCCCTGCATTGGCAGTGCCAGCGTGGTGCCAAGGGGGCAGCAGGAGCAGAAGGTGACAGTGGAATGAGGACCGTGGATCCCCTGTGGATGTGGGCGAAGCCCCCTGCTCTGCTGCAGCCTTGGGTCCTGCTTGGCCTATTCCAAGGGGTTGCTCTGGGGACAGAAGCCCCAGGCACCCTCAGAGCAGCTTTCCAGGCACAGCAAGGCCCCCGCTGCTCTCCAGGTGATGCTGGTGCTGGAACTGAGCAACCAGCAGAGATCTTCTGCAGAGAGGTGTGGTGTGCTGTGCTCTGCTCAGTTTCATGTGCCTCCAGGGATGAGGCAAACTGGGGAAACAGGGCTGCAGTTTTTCCCTGACTTCCAGCATGCACAGTGAGCTAGACTCTTCAGTGCTCACCAAAATCCAAGTGTGTCTGACACTCACACCCCAAAGGGAGCTGCAGGCACTGCTCCTGCTGCCTCTCTGGGTAAATAGGTGAAGAAGCCTGTACCTGCAATGGTGAGCAGGAGGGTAGAGGTGACCCGAGTGTCCTTCACACAGTTTGGTTGTTCTCCCAAACTGCAGAACTTTTCTTCCAAAAATCTTCCTCCAAAGCAGCATCAGGCAGCAGTTATTATCCTGCTCCTCTTCAGCTTTTCTTGGGGAAAGGGGCTGAGACCCTTACCTGTATCCACATCCCCCACACCTCATGAAGAAACCAACTCCTGGGACTTGACAAAGCCTTGGTGTGGAGTAGGTGACATCTGTCTGCTGTTTTGCAGCTGAAGTACATGAAGGAGCTGGAACTGGAGAAGGATTTCCTGTTGCAGGGCCTGGAACTTATAGACCGGGCTCGAGAGTGGTACCACCAGCACATCCAGCTCATGCAGGAGCACCAGCAGCTCCTGGGGAAGAGGAGAACCAGTGCTGTGAGTCTGGGGCTTCTTCTGGCTACATGTGGGTTTGGAGAACAGGGCTGGGAGGTGGCTGGACCTGGAGCTGACCCCATGGTAACCTCCAGCCTCTTCTTCCTCCCCATCCCGCAGGATTTCCCTGAAGGTGGCCAGAGCCATCTGGGGCGCCTGGTCCCCAAGCTGCAGGAGGTGAACCGCTGCCTGGGTGACCTTCTTTCCACTGCCAGCAAGGTGAGAACAGCACATCAGCAGCTTGAGGTTGTTTGTGTGATCTTAGGATTCATCCTGTCCCTCCCATGTTGGTGGCTGGGCTGACATTGGAGCTGCCAGAGTTCCCCCCAGCTCTGGGAAGGTGATGGAAGACAGCCAAGAGGACAGCACAGCTGGTGCTGAGGTGGGCTGGAGGATGCTTTGAGAGGCCTAAAGGAGATCCCCAAAAAGGTACAGCCATTATCAAGGTGCTGAGTCAGCCAATTCAGAGCTGACTGTCCTGCTGGACAGAAGCTGGGGGTGCAGCCCACTGCTGCCTGTCCTGCCAGGCACACTGGCAGGAATGCTTCCCCATTTTGCCCCATTCACAGGGCTGGAGACCCTGTGATGGCCTGTGATGGGGTTTTAATCCTCTGCTGGCCTTCTCTAAGTCCTTTATGTGCCATAGAAACATCTCACCTTGAAGAAGGCCCAGGAAGGGCCACAGGGTAGAAGGCTCAGTGTCTCATCCCTTCATCTTCTCTACAGACAGCAAACCCCTCCTCAGCACTGAGCAGGCTGGTCCCTGTGACATCCCCAGCCTCCACAGGCTCCCAGCAAGCCATCAACATGCTGAAGGAGCAGAATCGGCTTCTCACCAAGGTGAGTGGAGGTAGGGGTGGAGGAGATGTCCTTGGGGGTGCTGGGAAAAGAAGGGGATGGGATGGGGCTGGGGAAGGAATGACAAGCAGTGTCCAGGAACAGGGAAGTGTTCCTTCAGCTTGCTCAGACTTGGTCATCTCAGAGAAGGGGGTGTGGGCTGCATGTGGAGACCCTTTGGCACATGGCTGTGCCCAGCTGTGTCCAGCTGTTTGCTGGGTGAGTCAGTGGCAGGGATGGGGCATTCCTCCCAGAGGGAAAAGACTGTGACAAATGGAGGTCACAAGAGAGTGCAGGGGCTGCAGCTGGGGGCTGTCAGGGAAGAGATGGTCTGCCATCTCAGGCCAGGGCCAGGCTCACTGCTGGGGTTTTCTGTCCCAGCCTGTGGCCACAAAGATGCTCTGGGCACTGGAGTCCCTCTGCTCTGGAGCCAGGCTGGGACAGCTGGGGGTATTCACCAGGAGAAGAGAAGAGGAGGGAGACCTCAGGGCCCCTTCCAGGGCCTAAAGGGCCTCTATGAGAGCTGGAGAGGGACTTTGAATAAGGGTCTGGAGGGACAGGATAAGGGGGAATGGCTTTCCACTGCCAGAGGGCAGGGTTAGATGGGATAGTGGGAAGAAATTGTTCCCTGTGAGAGTGGTGAGGCCTTGGCATAGGGTGCCCAGAGAAGCTGCCCCATCCCTGGAAGTGTTCAAGAACAGTTTGGAGAGGTCTTGGAGCAACTGGCTCTAGTGGAAGGTGTTTCTGCCCCTGGTTAGGGGCTGGGATGAGATGGGCTTTAATGTCCTCTTACCCAAAGCCTGTGATTCTGTGGTTCTATGAAATTTTGCTGGCAACACAACCAGTGGCCAGCAGTTTCCTCCTCTAACCAGCTTTTTCCTCCCCTGTCTTGTGCAGGAGGTGACTGACAAGAGCGAGCGCATCACCCAGTTGGAGCAGGAGAAATCTGCCCTGATCAAGCAGCTCTTTGAGGCTCGTGCCCACAACAACCATGAGATGAGCCAGCTGGACTCCACCTTCATCTAGCCTCCCCTGCCCCATCCCCAAACTTACCTGGGGGATTTCAAGGGACTCTTGCCCCAAACTCATCACACCTGCTCCTCCAGGTGTTGTGTCTCAAGGTCTGGGGCTGCTGGTGGCATCTCTGTGCAAGGAAGCCAGGACCCCTCTTGGGGAGCATCCCTGCCCTGCTGATGGCTTATCAGCCATGCTGCTCTCGAGCTGCTCCTTTCCTGTCTCTAAGTGGGCTGCAGGGGTGCTGTCCCCAGCCCTGTGACCCCCCAGCATGCAGGAGACATGGCTGCTGTCTGTGCTGCCTGTGTGGGGTCAGCTACTGTGCCCTTAGGCTGGATTTTGGGTGCTCTTGGGAAAAAGTGATGTATCTTCGACATTCTAGCCAGCATCTCCAGAAGGAGATGGCCTGGCCTTAGAGGGTGCTGGCTCCTGCTTGTCTTTTCTTGGAAGACAAGATTGGAAATCCAAGGAGGCATGCCTGGCCCCTCTCTGCTTCCTGTGTTCTGCCTGCCAGAGGCATTGTCCGGCCCTGTAGTGCCCAAACTGGTGGTCCTCATGGCAACCACTCTCACGTTTGTGGTAGTGATACCATACTTGCTATTTACATGTCTGTAGGCTCCTATAGGGAATGAGCCATAGACCCAACCAAGATAGCCTACACCTCTGAGCTGCTTTTTTGGGCTCTTGAGAAGTTGAGACAGACACCTCACTGTTTACTTGACTTGACCTGGCAAATACTTCCTGATGTCTGCCAGGATTGGATTATTTTCATGATGACTGTGAAAGGAGAAGTGATGTTCCATGGCCTGAGGACGCTCACATCAGCCTGACCTCACAGAGGGCCTTTAGAACTTGGTTTTGTATTTTACTGAGTGTGGGACAGAGCAGAGGCTGACAGGCTCTTCCCTGTGCACATCTACACATGGAGAAGTGGCAGCTCTGCCTGACGTGGTTGTGGAGGCTGCTGTCAGGGGTGACATCCTGACACTGAGCTGCACTCCTCTGCACGTGTCTTGAGCGGTGGTGGTGGTGGTTCAAGATGGGTCCTATTAGATGGCACATTCTCAGGACTCCTGCTTCCCACCCAGCTCAGTGATGATGCTTGGGCTGAATGACATTCGACTGTGCCTTGGTACTTGGTATCCATGGTACTTTCACTGGAGATCCCATGTAGCACAGCCTGGCCCTCTGTATCCCCAAGGCCAGGACCTTTCTCTCTGGCGTTGTTTCATGGTCTGACTCTCCAGGCATGATGCTGTGGCACTGAGCTGAGCTGGGCAGAAGGTGCTGGTTCTGCCCTGAGCTGACACATGCAGGCCAATTCTGTTCTCACTTCTGTTCTTATCTGTCAGGACTCTCTGTCCCATCCAGCTGTTCTCTTTGAGACTCATCCCAAGCTAAAGCTTACTGCAAGGCATGAATCCCTACTCTGCCCTGTGCCTGCAGCTGGAGTGGGGATCACCAGGGAGATGGTGGAGGAGGAGCAGCAAAGGCCATGGTTAGTCATGTCCCCTGTCTGCAGGAGTCGGCTGTTAGTTGTCCCGCAGGCATCAGTGCCTGCCATCCTTTTTGTGATGCCTTCTCTAGTGTCCAGTGCCTGTTTTGCCTGAGGTTAATTAGAACTGACCCTTTTTATGAGGGTTACCTGTCTGTAGGGATAATAAAGTGGGGTGACCTATTTAATTTATCCTTCTGTCTCTCCCTAAATCACCCCATATACTGCTGCCAGCCCTGAAGTCCCTGACTGTCCTGTCTCTCAGAATGCAGGGAGAGCTGAAGCTGCAATCTGGTGAAGTGAGCAAACAAAGAGCCCAGGGGTCTCTGCACCTGGACATGTTTCCATGTCCTTTCCCATCACCTCTGGTCTTCTCAGACCTGAGAGACCCTGTCCCCTGCTGTGGGGCAGGGTCTTAAAGCCGCCTGCACCCCTTCCAAGTGCTGTAGCCTCATCTGTCTACTCCTCCAGAAGCTGTGCTTGGGGCTCACACTGCTCAGGCAGTGCTGGTGCAATTCACAACCTCTTATTTGCTTTCAAGTACCCTTTTTCAGAGCTGCCCCACAGTGGTGGTAACAGTGGCTGGTGCTCTGCAGTGACTCCTTCCCACAGGGTCAGCCACGGGGGACCTCAGTGGCATGGCATGTGTGGCACGTGTCCCTCTGACCTACGCTGAGATGGCAACTCATACAGGGTGACCCTGAGGCTCTGCACTGATGGGGGTACCCTCCTTTCCCAGGCTGTGGGGTGAGCCCTGCGCCCTGCAGAGGCTGAGCCTGCCCTGCGAGGAGCAGAGCCAAGAGGGAGACCCCAGTCCACTTACTGGCAGCTGGCAAAGGAATGTCTGCCGTGGCCTCTTTCAGGTGCTGCTTAGGGCAGCCACTAGTTCCAGCTGGGGCAGGAAGAGGGTTGGTAATTGCCCTTGGTTCCCATTTCATGTCTGTGCTTGGGTGTGGAGCCCATGAGGGCTTCCAAAGAAAAAGAGTCGTGGTTCCCTTGGCAGACTGCTTCAGGGCAGCTTTCCCGTTCCCCCTCCCTGCCTGGGGCTGCAGCCCAGGGGGGTTGTCCCGGTCCTGGCCAGCAGCACTGGCCCCCCCCCGCCGCTTTCTGTGAGACTGCAGCAGGTTGTGGGGTGGCCCTGGCAGTGCCACAGCCCACTGGGACCAAGTTTCCCCTGGGAACTGCAGAATTCACCTCAAGCTGTCACTCTGGCCTGGCCACACTTTCTAGGTCCCTGATGGGCTTGACCCTCCCCTGTGGGTCTGGGCTGTGTCCACTCTGGCACCCTTAACTGTGGGGGCTGGCTCAGGAGCCACGAGACCTGCATTTGGGGCCAGGTCTGTAAGTAATGTATGTGCTGGGGCATGTGGGTGAGCATGTTCCATTCTCTTCAGGCTTTTTCCTGCTGGAGCTGGGTTTGCATAGATCTATGGCACCTCCAGGGCTCTGATAACCGTTGGAACCCACTGTGTGAAGCTGTGGTTACACTGGGAACAGCTGGAGCAGGGCTTTGCTATCCCTAGCCAGGACAGCTCCTGCCAACCCACCTCACTTCCCCACAGCCCTCCATGCTGCAGGTTATCACACACAGGTGCAACACCATGGGGTCAACATGCCTGTCCCTGGGCATTTGTGGTGGGTGACACTGCATGAGGGGTCCCCACTGCCAGAGCCTGGAGCTACTGTCTGAGCAGAGTGAGCCCTCTCATGAGCTCAGTCTGGAGGTGTACCTGGCCCCTGGGCTGCCCAGGGACGCAGGTTCTCATCCTCTGAGTCCTCAGCTGTGCAGTTTGGGAAGGATCCAGTCACCCAAGCTTGTGTATTCATACTTTCTCTCCTCTCCTGCCCAGCTGTGTGCCCTTTACAAGTCCTCTGAGCCTGGGCTCCATGCCCAGCTGCCCCTTCAGAGAAGGGCTGCTGTCCCAGCAGAGCGATTGCCCTACACGTCAGCAGGAACAGCTGCATCTTGGGCCCCTGACCTGAACATTCTGGGTCTTTTTTGCTTTTCTTCCCTGCCATATGGTCAGCACTGCTGGGCCACCAGTCTCTGCTGCCCTGGTTCTGCAGCCCTCCTGCTCTGCACCTCTTGGCCTTGCTGTTGTCAGTGCAACTCACTGGGAAGCAAACTGAGGATGTGATGACTGGAAAACCCTGGGTCCTGGGGATGGTTCTCATTGGAATGGGGAGCTGGACCGTTCAGGCCTGACCAGACTAAAGAGGTGCCTGTTGCATCTCAGACCTGCAAGCAGTTGCTGATCATCCCTGTGATCCCTCAGAGTGTTCTCCCACCCCAGACCATCCCTGTGCTGTGCTGCTGCAGCCCTGCCTATATCCTGGGCTCTTGCTTGTATCCCAGGTTCTATTCTCCTCTTGGCAGGTATAAACTGCCTTCTGCTTTAGGTGCTACCCAGTGCTCCCCGTTCCCCCTCCCTGCCTGTGGCTGACATTTGCACACCGTGAGCAAAGGCCCACTCCCAGGTGGGGTGGAGAGGGTCTGCCCTCCCCACTGCAGGGTATGCTGGAGGCTGAGCCTCTGCTCACCAGCATGGTTCATTTCTGGGGGGGTTCATTTCCCATCCTAAGGGGATCAAGCACAGCATCCAGGCGCTGCTTCGGTGTCCAGTCAGATCTCTGCCAGAGCCAGTGACTCGCTGTGATCCCAGCCCGGCGTGGGCGTTCACCTCTGCCTGCACAGCCACTCCACTCTGTTCCAAGGTACAGCTGATTGAAGGCAGATGCTCCGTCCAGGAGACCCATGTGATGGGGAAGAGTGAGGCTCCCAGAATCGCTGCTTTGCTCTGCAGCTGCGTACCGCAGGGACTGTGACTCAAACTCCCGCGCATTGCAAGGAGGCAGCAGCACATGGCAGATACCCAGCCCTTGAGAAGCAGCTGTCAGGGAACAGAGCAGGGGCTGAGGTCATGGCCAACACCCTGGAAGACCACATGTGTGGGTTCCCTTAGACCCAAAGCGTCCCTTTGTGGGACACCTGTGTGGCAGTGGGTGCAGACAGTGGGTAGAGGTGACCCCATCCTCCTGCTGTGCCATTGGGACACCTCTGGTTGCTCCTCCCGGATCATGCTCTGGGTGGGAACAGGCAATTGGAGGGACAGAGCCTGCACTAGGTCTGGGCTGCAGTGACATCCCAGGGAGCCATCAAAACCCACTCATGTAAAAAGACCCTTTGACTGCCCTTCCTCAGCTGTAGACGAGGGCTGGACACATGAACCATTGAATCAGAGAATCAGAATCCCAGATGGTTTTGAGTTGGAAGGGATGTCTGAAGACCTTTTTGTTCCACACCTTCCCATGGGCAGGGACACCTTCTACTATCCCAGGCTGCTCCAAGACCTGTCCAGCCTGGCCTTGAACAATACCAGCGTGGAGCAGCCACAACTGCTCTGGGCTTGAAGCCATTCACCCTTGTGCTGTGACTCCAGGCCTTTGTCCAAAGCCCCTGTCCTGCTCTTTTGGGATCTCCTTAGGTACAAAAAGAGGCTCTAACATCTCCCTGGAGCCTTCTCTTCTCTAGACTGAGAAAACCTAACTTACGCAACCTTTCTTCAGGAGAAATGCTTCATCCCTCTTAATCATCTTTGTGGCTCTCCTCCGTGGACCAGCACATCCCCAAAGCAGAGAGCCTGGACTATTCCATAGGCACAAACAGCCCAGCACTTCACTCCCCTGTCTTGCTGCTGTCTGGCCCCCTGGATACGAGGCAGGGGAGACATGACTCCCACTAGTTTGCCCTGTGGCTGGATCCAGGGGACAGCACTGGGAGTAGCAAGTCCTTTTGCCCTGGAGCCTCACCTGGGCATGTGCCCTCCTTTTACTGCCAAAACTTTCCTGTTTTGGGTCTAAGAGAACCCACAAATGGGTCATGGGCAGCCAGGGACAACCCATCCTCAGGCAGCTCCAGGCAGGCAGGTTTGGTTTATTTTGGCTACTGAAAACAACTGCCCATGAAGGATATCTGTGAGTGTCTACAAGCCCAAGAAGACAGGAGACATGTCCTCTGGCCCTTTTCCTTGGGGGTAAAAAAAAAAAAAATCCAATTTTTATTATCTAAATTATGACATCTTCCTGTCAAGAACCTGAGGGCAGGCAGGGCCGCCTGCACTGCTAGCCCTGGGCATCCTGCAGCTGCTGTGGGTCACAATCACAAAGGTCACAACCACATCCATGTTTTTATGCCCACAGATGGGGACCCACAGGGCAGAGTGACACAGCAGTGACAGCCCAGCACAAGCAGGATGCCGTAGCCCCAGGTCCCCCAGGTATGGCCTCTTGGCTGAAGATCAGTGCTTCCATGTGGTGCTGCTCAGACTGGGAAAGAAACAGTCTTTTGTCCTATTTGTTAAATCAAGAAACCCAAAAGACATTGCCTTGGGCCCTAAGGTTTTGTTTAGCCCTAGATGAAAATGCTTTGCACTGAGTTTGGTGCAGGTGTTTTAAACACTTCTCTTTTTTCTTTCTGGAAGCATGAGTTCTGCTGGGCAGAAAGCATACAGTTCTTTGGGATCCTTCCAAAATCTCCATTAGCTCTTCAAATCTTCCAAGACCTTCATTAGTCCTCAGGCTGAGCCACTTTTCAAGGCAAGGCGTTGTCCCACAGATGGATCAACCATGGCTGGGAGCCATCCCAGACTCCGAGTCCAGGGTCCCATCCCCTGTGGCGGTTGTGCCCTGGCCAGTTTGGACAGGCCTCAGCTGGTTCGATCAGGAAGGCAATAGGCAAATGATCTAACAGTTCTATCATTAAATATTTAGTGTATTGATGGCTTAGGAAGGAAATAATTTGGGTTTGTGAGAGACATCATGGTGCTGATGCTCCTGCACCGATGCCAACGCCTTCTCACTGTTGCCTGGTGAGTGCCTGCAGCACTTCTCCATGCCAGGCTGCCAGGCTTTTCCCGTTGGATTAGAGGGACCCAGCACCCCAGCAGCTCCCCTGGCACCCCTGCATCCATAACAGCTGGAGGCATGTGGCTGGTTCAGGGGAGCTTCTTGGTGAGGTCTGCAGGAGCAGCTTCACCCCTGCAGTGTCCCACACTCTGCACTGCCTGGACATCTGCACTTGTCAGCTCCTGTTTTATTACTTCTCTATCCCAAATCCTAAGGGGGTTTTCCAAACCCAGCCATTTTTTACATTTTCCTTGGATGAGTAGACTGTTGCATTGCTTCCAACTCCC